GTTATTGTGGATGTGTTGAGGGGCTTGAGAAAATTTTTTGGTTCACATGTGAGGCCTAGACTCAGACATAATTTTTAATCTGGTTGATGTTGATTGGTTAAATCTCACGTACTACTGAACAGACAGCAGGCACACGAAGCTTGATGTTGCTGTCATATGCTGAATCACTCTTGCATGCTGCTGAGTAGCAAATGAAACTCATTCAACTTTTGTGATGCATTTATGAAAATGAGCGATGATTAATTCTCTAACACTCATTACAATTTGAAAATGCTCTTTATCACCATTGTATCACTACTCACAGTTTTATTTATGAACTGTGTAGTCTACATGATGTAAATTTTTTTTTGAAATAATTTAAAAACTACACGGAATAAATTGATTTACATTACATTATAAGTTACAAGACACTGCAGCAGCATTATGATTTTATTGAGTTATGTTCGGTTTAATTTAAATAAAGAAAGTAGACAGACAACATGTAACATATTTTTAACTTGAGGGCTTATTGTTCCACAGAGGAACATCTGATGAAATATTGAATCGCTTACAATTTTGTTTCTTTAGGGCAAAGGTTTATTGGTCTTTAGTTTTATTTTAAAATTTTCTTCATTCAGATTATATTGCTCATTTCAATTTTTATATATCACTCTAGTCTGTGTAGTTAAATGCAATCTCCTTTACAGTTTAGCACTGTTGGTTTTTTCATTTGGATTGTTGTCCATAGCTTCTAAGCATAAAAATTCGTTAAGATCCGAAAATCGTTCAAAATATCTTAATTCAGTTTTAAAATTTTCTTCCAACATCCACTAACGTTTCATCAATTTTTTTTTATTAATTTTTGTTTCTCTGTGATTTCCATGGTTTGTTTTGTCTGTAAGAACATTTGCATGAGAACAATATGTGCTGCTGCTGCTTCTTATATATCATTCTTTTTAATAAAAAATTCACATAAATTTTTAAGATAGGTGATAAATTGCTTTGAACCATTTCTTTTTATTTCTTGTCACTTTTTTTCTTTTTCAACTATCATACTGATGGTCTGCATAGTTTTTGTCTTTTAATATTTTGCAGTTGTTAAACACCAGAAATAAATTGTTTGTCGTTCAATCATGTGCCGCCAAATTTTTCTAAAAAAAATTTTTGTTTACTCTTGTGGTTAAACTTAGTTTTTTTTTGTAATGGAGCGCCTCGTTATTATAATCTACTTCGGCTCTCTTTTAACTATTGCCTCCATCATTATTATTAATAAGTTCCTGCATCTTTTAATTCAGTTTTTCAAACTTCGCTAATCGCGTTCGCCAGATTTTCGCTTGGATATTTTTATTTCGATATTTCTTTATTTACTACTCGTTGTTAATAAAGATAGCTTGTAAAATAACTCTTATATATACTCTAATTACTCTAGCTAATTATAAATGTATAGGCTTGGTTAGTATTGTTTTACCTCAAACACATGTGAAACACTGTGCCAGAATTCCACACGTTTCTCGTAAGTCTATCCATCTTTCGAGCTCGTTGACTGGTTTGGTAATTTATTGAGGTTATTTTTGAGCATCCGTGAGACGCATTTATTTAAAATTATTATAAAAATGTTTACTTCAATTGCATTAAAGAACTGCAGCAATAATAATGGTTATACATATAACAACATCAATCATAATGGTGGTATTTATAACTTTCATTGTACTAAATCTGCATCTAGCTTTTCTTCTTCTTACATTTTTAATATAAAATAATTTTACTAATTCGGTGTGGTGTGTGTGTGAGTGTTTGCGTGTTTGTGCGTGTATAATCACATTAACGTTTGAGTGAATTGAAGGTTGGAAAGTTGGATGAATAATGAAAAAAAAAAAAACAATTAAAAAAATCTTTATTTATAGAAGAACTGTACAAGTACATACAGCTTTTTTTGGCTGCGTAGTTCTTCATATTGACCTATGGTTTCTTAATAACTTGTATTTTTGATTTAAAAATTGATTATAAAATTTTTATTTCACACGTCTAAACGTTTAAAATGACTGAATTTAAGTAACTGATTGACAATTGATTTACTATCCCATCTGGCTTACTGACTTATGAAAAGTTTTGTTATGTTTAAATTATCGTACTGAATGAGTGTGTTTTAAATGTCTGATAATAATTAGTTCAGATATAAAAATGCGTCAGGAAATATATTGTGTTGTAAGAGGAATGTAACCCTCTAAGAAGGCCTGGTTGCAGTCTGAAAGCGATGTTTGTTGTCATTATCATCATTTATTAGGACAGTTATAATAATTACTGTGTATTTATCTTCACTGTGTATTTATTTGGTTTTATTTTATCCTGTTGTTATATAAGGACATCATGGAAGTTACATAAAAAAAAACACACACACTTACATGAACACACACTCATAAACGAACGCGTATACACACGCACACTTACTTGAACACACATACATACATAAACTCACAGGCACACACACATCAACACACACACAAAACTCAATGACACATTTATATGTGCTAGATAAATAATTCAGAATATGTATAGATTCTTTTAATGAAGTTGGAAATTAAAATTTTTTGATTAATTACCTGGAAAGAAGAACTAGTTCAATTTTTTCAGTTTATTTATTTTCTTTTTTCGTTATTTTATTAACGTTTCATTAAATCCCTAAAAAATAGTTATTAAGTTATTAATTAAATACAGTAATCAGTGTGTGCATGTGTATGTGTGCGTGCGTGCAAATTAAACTAAAAGGTGGTCAAACAGCTGAAAGTGGTCCAAGTACCACATGGATGTCTTTGATGTTTGAAAAGGATATAAATAACCTGTTTGTCTTGGCTCCTATCATGTTCCTGAACTATAGTCATAATTTATAAATTAATGCAGGGGTAGAGCGGTGGGCAAACTACGGCCCGCGAAGCTATTTTATGCGGCCCGCGAGGCCTTGTTTGCCAAAAAACAAAAAAAGGTCGTTAGCCAGACATTATAACCAAAAAAAGGAGCTACTCTCTCCCGGGTCGAAAAAATTTGCTATTTAAGTACATATGCGGCCCTTCAAAGGTAAAATAGTTCTCAATGCGGCCCTCGCAGCAAAAAGGTTCCCCACCCCGGAATGAATGAATCTAAACGAAATTATTAGGCAAATCGCAGGTTTAATAGTGCAAATTAGCTTTAATAAAAGTTTTTAAATGAAATTGCTTTTCTAAAAACTTTTCGTTATTTTAATAAAGATTATGGTTCAAAATTTGATACTAGGTATTAATCACATGACTTGAACAACTAACAGCAATTAATTAAATTAATAATTAATTAAATAATTAAGTCAACTTATTTAACACTGGCAGTTAATCACTCTCTCCTTGATTAATAGTAAATGATTTAAGGTTTGACTTATTGACTGTAACATCGTCATTAATCAAGATAATATGACGTGGTTTTTATTTACGATCTGTTACACACAGAGTCTAACAATGAAACCACGCTTATGTAGAAAAACAACAATCGAAGATGTCTATTAATTTGTATTTGTTTATTTCTCAGTATAATTATATGTTGATTGTCATTAAGATTTATATTTATTTTATTATTATTACCATCTCCTGCTAAGCTAGATGATTACTTTCGATAATAAATTTATATGGCTGCGTTCTATCTGTTATTGATTTCATTCATTCATTCATTCATTCATTCATTCATTCATTCATTCATTCATTCATTCATTCATTCATTCATTCACTCATTCATTCACTCACTCACTCACTCACTCATCCAGACATAGTAATTAAGTGTTACTCTTTATATCTTATAGATTTTCTTCGTTCATTATCGTCAGTTAGTCATTTAATAAGTTTATAAAAAAAAGCAAATCCACACGTGCTATGTAATAATTTAATAAGTCTGGTCTGGTACGAGTTGCATGTATGTAGTAATTCAATCATTCATATCAAGTTGCGATGATTTTTTTCAAAATTAATTTTCGAAATTCTTTTTATAATAATTTTGTCTCTTAATAATAAAAAGGAAAATAATAAAAGTTACATCATATAGTATTTATAATTATAAGCTATAATCACAATCCTGTGCAATGAAAATATATGTTTTTTCCAAGTTGGATTTCTGGCAAAGCCTTGTAGTACTGTTTTTTACTATCAGCAAATACTACTATAAATGTTAATAGTACTTACAATAATTAATGTAGTACTTGTATTAACGTAGCACTAAAATAGTACTGCGTCTAATGTAATTTATTTTCATAAATTTTCAATAAATATATATTTAAATGGAAATTAATTTATTCAAATATTGAAATAAAAAATTTTATTCCATTTACAGGCGTGCAAGTATTAACGCTTAGTCATTTATTTTACTGTTCTTAAAATTAGTCTTGTTGTCTTTTACCTAGAATTATTTGTAGTTTAAAAATAGGCTCTGTGAATTTAAAAAATCAAAACCTTTGCACTGAAAGAATTAATGTTGTTAATAGGAATACTAAAAATGTCATCTAGTAAACATAAAAATTGCAAGTGCAAATATTATTTTGTCATTAATATTATTACTTTATATTATTATTATTGTTAAGCATTGACTGACATGTACGGACTTAACTTATAATTTTTATCAATGGAATTATGGAATTTTATATAAATGTTTTTTTTCAAGTTAGGTTGATGCTATAATGCTGCAAATAAAAAATTGTTCTATATTTTTGGCTTTTTCAATATAGTTTTTTTAATGGTTGCTTAGTAAGTTCCAGAAATCGTCTACGTAAAGAAAAGTACATAAAAAGTGATAAATTAGATAAATATTGTAAAACATAAATAAATAAATTATATATATGTATATAACCATGACATATCTGTTTTTTCATATATTTGGCTATCTATCATTGCAAATATTACTACTTCAAAGGGTTTTGGTAAGAAAGCAATGTTTTTATTCTGAAGAAAATATTTGCTTTACAACTTTCATTAAGATTAAGAGCGGCATATTCACCATGGGCTTAATATAATATGGAGCAAGTTTATGATTCTGCTATGACTTGTTTTGTTTGGACTTTGGTAGCAAAATCAATATTTTCAGTTGGTATAAATGTTCACTTGGGAATAATCACAAAAAACGAGGTAAATAAATGATAGTTATTGACATAATATGAAGAAGAGTAATGAGCGTGAATGATGGGACTGAAAAAAGTTAACCGAAGGTTGAAACATTGGTAAACTCAGTACGTAAAAAATAACGTTTTATGGCACACAAACCAGGCTACAAAACTTGGCCTCACAATTGTTGGTTGGTCTCTGACAGGTCTAGGTCTGAAAAGTGAATTTGAAATATATGAAACGTATGGAAATAAAAGCTAGCTTGTAGAAGATTAACCATTTTGTATATTCAAATTCATAATGAAATTAAAAACCGGTTGGAATGGTTTTGGAACATAATAACGTTGACCTCTCGATAGCAGATTTTTTTGATGTGATTGATGTATTACATGGAAACTTGAGATCGGGTGGATTGTTAGAATTTGTAGAACGTAGAAAATGTTTAAGTGATGACATTTCTGGTAAAAGCTTGAAGACCAATGGCAATTGTAAAGAGAAATTGGCATGCGAACAAGACTTGAGCATTTTAAACTGGAAAATATTGAATGCATTAATAAGATAAAAAGACTTTGTGGTGCATTTGAAAGGTGATAAGTTTGGAGGTGAACTTGTTAAAAAAGAGAGGCAGTTTAGTGTTTAGTTTGGACTTGTTCTGAGTTTTTAAGGTTGAGAGGATTGGAAAATGATGAAAGAAGGGAGAAAATGTTCGGTGAAAGCTTATATTTTTATTTTACATTGTGTCTGTTTTATTTAATTATTTATAGTTGAAAATTTCAAATTTTCAAATTCATATTTGTCTAACATTTTTATCTACTTTTATTAACGGTATAACGAAAGTTAGAGGAAATTTTCGCAACGAAAGTTAGAGGAAATATTTGCAAGTTTTGTTTATTGGTTATAACTAACCACACACACACACACACACACACACACACACACACACACACACACACACACACACAAATGTATATATTTTGTATGTACACACACACAAATGTATATATTTTGTATGTACGTACACATGTACGAATACACACATGCTTAGATGTCTATTTATTTGTTTATTTCATATATCTCCATCTATCACCTCCAATTGCAGACAGCGCTGATTAAAACTTTTTAAAATTTCTAAATTTTTATAAAGCTGGTCTACATATTATATATAATACAACTATGAAAAGAAGATAATTTCTTTCTTCTTTTAACATCAACAGTATTTACTTACGAAAAACAAGCCGGTACAACAACTTGAATTGAATAAAAAATTAATAATGGTAATAATAATAATAATTACAATAATAATAATAATTACAGCAATAATAATAAGAGAAATATTATAGTAATTTTTTATTTTTATTACTATTTTTACTACTTACTATCAATTTTTATTCACAAAAGAAAGTAATTTGTATTATACACACACATGCTCTCAGCAATTATTACTTTTTTTTCTTTTTCTTGTTTTTTTTTTTTATTTTTTACTCTGTCTAGCTCATTAGACTGCACTAATTGATGTTGCTATGTCGTTGTTCTGTGTAATTCTATTAGAACTCATCCCTCGTGAATGGTTTTAATTATTATTTTCTTTATAATTTATTAATTTTTTTTTTACTTTCATGCGAGTTGTCATCTTAAGCTGGCTGCTGTTGCTGTTGTTTGTTGTCTGATGGGTTGATGATTTTATTCTGTCTGTATCTGTCTGTGGTTATCACTGCGTCATCGTCATCTCTTTTTAAAGTTTCGCTTCTCAGTTTAACTGATAATTTCACTTTCTCAAAATCGTTTACTATATTTAGGTTCTTATTTACTGCATTGTTCGGTTTTGAAGTGTTAAGTCCATTATAAAATTGTTTTATGCTATCGTAAAATTATATTTTTATTACTGGTGTAGACATTTTCTTTAACCATTTAGAAGAAGTTTCAAATGCATGAATTATTGCTTTTTAAATGTCTGCTTTTGTTTGCTCTCATGTTTACGGGTTCAGTTTTTTTATTTAAATGTTTCAAAAATTCTGAGATGAGTTTTTTTATATTATACATGCAGTTTAAAAATAATATTTTTGATAGTTTGAAATAATATTTTTGATCATTTCAGTTTCAGATAATGCTAACATTCATGAAGAAGCTAATGGGTTCCAGTAGCAAGAACAACGATCAAATGTCGTCAAATGCTAGCAGAGTAGTGCCATCGTCGTCAGCAGCTGTCAAAATTTACAAAGAATATGGTGACGACGACGATGATGACGATTCTCCTGATACTGATACTGAACAATCGATTAAAATATATTTCAAACATAAAACAGATAAACTAATTAAAACAGCAAAAAACTTTCATGTCAGCACACCAATCAACGCCAATCATTTTGAATGTTGCTCGTCTATAAATAACATTCACTGTTGTAGCTGTTTGGTGGCCGAAGTCGTCAACGCTGGCAATACTAACTGCGTTGAGAACGTGCACAACATTAACAACAACAACAACAACATTAACACTAACAACAGTCCAGATTTAAAGAATGATGGTATTCATTTCAACACTGAGGACAGTGATAATCAAATCATCAGAACATTGCCAGCTCCTGACAACCGCAAAAGTTCATCATACACAGACGATGGCAACGCACTGAATGATATTCGCCATAACATCCTTGCTAACAACGTTAACATCTATTGCAGTGTAGGCAGCAGTCAGAGCATAGTCGGCCGGGCAAACCACATCTTTGAAAACTCTCCACTAAATCAAATGAATTTCGAACAATCGTCTGATAATTTTTTAGCAACTTCTAAAAGAAAGTCTCTCGAACGCAAAAAATTGAGTGAAATTTCAAACATGCCAGTAACCACTTCAGCATCGCCACCAGCAGCAGCAGCAACCACGCCTACATCATCAACACCAAAAAAACTAGATGTCTGTTGTTGTGTGAACTGCAAACACTTTAGATACAAAGAGGATAAAATTGTGGTGAAGAATAATTCTGATTTATTGCAGTTTAAAGGTCAGTACAGCAAAAGTTAAAAAATAAATGCAAACACATTACAGCTCTTGAAGTTCATTTTTACCAAGTCAGGGTTATGATGCTGGTTGATGGTTTATGTCGGCAAGGGTGATCAATTATACAATAATACAATAACTATACAGATTGTCCTGGTTATGACATTAAACTGGCCCTCACTGCCTTGTGAGTGATGTTGGATCATCAAAGGCTAGGCCCACCGCTTATAACTGTGGTTGCGTAAGGAAGGGCGTCCTGTGTAAAAATTAGCCAAATAAATTACTTATGATGACAGAAGTGACAATGGCCCTCAGTGAATGGCGTCGAGGGGTATTTCGGTTTCATCATAGGTAGCCAAACGGCAACCCTCGATCTCGGGGAAAATGTTGTCTAAACGTGTGTTGTTGTTGTTGTATACAAATTGAGATTTTTATTTAAATGGCACTGAGGATGGTGATCAGTGTGTCGACGTTTTAAAAATTTGAATGGGGTGGGTGGCGAAAATTTTTCAAAAGTTTTTTACTAACATTTTCAACAAAATTTTTCTGTTCTGAGTTTAGTTAATGATACACTAATGACATTTTTACAAATTTTTTGCGAAATGAGAAGCTAAAGGAAAATTTTTCACTTGCTGCTTTTTTCAAGGATACAAATTATTAAATCTCATGTTTTGAAGAGAAGCACTATTATGGTTTTCTTATATACACCTATTTATTGCTTAACCAAGAAAAAGGATTTCGCCATCAATGAATTATTTTGTTTAATTTTGTAAAGTAAATCAATTTAGGTAATGTTGTTTTTTTCCAAAAATATTTTGCAACTTTTTTTCAATCAAGTATATTTTTAGTTCCTATTTTATGGCTTATAACAGTTTGAGAACAATTTGATTAATTGTATTGGATATATTATTGTTTTACAATTTTGTTTGGAAATGTTTTGGCTGTGCAAAATGGTGATCACTCTCATCTACAAATTATTGAGAGGGCAAATACGTCATGCCTCACTCATCAGAGTCTGTGATGGTGATGACGATATAATTATGATGATTAATTAATTAGTAATTTAATTGACTAATTAATTTTGACAATTTTTGTAGGCAATGAAAGTCTGCATGCTTTCTATAGTCCAACAACAACAACATCAACTACTACTGTTGGAATATCTTGTGGAGAACATACACTCGCACATATAACATCTAATAATATGTCTGCTACGTCTTTCAAATGTGCTAGCAAAATAAACAAAAAGTTTATTAACTTGTTAACTTCAGTTAATGCGCAAAACAGGAAAAGCAATGCCGATGGTGTTAGTTGTGAGGCTTGTAATTTGTATTGCAGCGATGAGAAGAAACATCTGTTACACTTCACAGAATGTCCTGATTGTAAAGTGAACTTTTCGTTTGATTGCAACCTATCTAACAATAACATCTACAACAGTAACATCAACGACCACAACGTCAGCAGCCACAACGTCAGCGACCATAGCGTCAATGTCGATAGGAGAAAAAGAAACAATAACGACACCGGTTTACGCGTTAGTTTCAGTTTTTTCGGTTTAACTTGCTCACAATATTTTATTTCGCTCATTTGATGTGTTCGTTTATTACTGATTTGAAAACAAGGAAAGCATGCCTGGTTTGAACGTGGAGAAAGAATGTGCAGTGCATGCATGTGTCCTCTGGTGTGTTTTTTCATATGACCAGATTTCAAGCTAATTTATGCAAGTTTAAGCAAATTCAAGCAAACTAGTATAGTTGAGAGAAAGTGAAAGACAGAAGAGTGCGTGAAAAACGATAGAATATTAGGAAGAAACGTAAAAAAACAGGAATAGAGAGGAAAAGAGAGAGAGAAGAAAGAAAGATACACAAAGAGAGAGAGAGAGAGAGAGAGAGATACAGAGAGAGATACAGAGATAGATACAGAGATAAATAGCTGTTTTAATCATGAAATAGTTGAAAGGAAGATTTCTGTTTGCAGAGTTAATAATTACATAGCTGAAAGCTCTAGTTCGAGAATCGTGATGATGATGACGATGATAGTGATGATTAAGTTGTTGATGATAATAAGAATTTTGATAATAATGGTTACAGTGGTGACGACTTTGATAGTGGTGGTGATAAAATTGTGAAAATGAGCATGACAATGAAATCACAACACAATAGACACCAGTTGGGAGTTCCACATCCGTTTTCCGTCACGTAAACCCACTGCACGAGAATACTGAATTCAACAAACGTCATCCACCAAAACATCAGATTCTACAACAACAAGTTTCAACAACGACAAAGACCATTAAAAGCAAATCCTCGTCCACTGTAGCGCAGCAACAATGCAAACCCGGGAGGCCTTCAACCAACTACCCGCCTGCATTTCCAGCTACGGTTGTGCGCTTCAAGGATGGCGAGGAGAGTTATGAGAGTTACAAGAACAAGCTTGAGAACCTGAACAAATACCACAGTTGTCAGCACAACAACAGTTCCGTTGTTATTCCCAATGTCACAATTCAACACGCACAGGGTCTTTTAATTGATTAACTGACACTTCATCACTAAATAAATCGTTTAGTTACTTGAATTAATTTAAAAAATTAAATGTCTTCACCTTATTATGATCATCGCTTTCAATTTATTATTATTGACGTTACTTTTTTAACATTTTGAAAAGCACTTCAAAGAACGAATGCGAATATCATGATAAGAACATTTCATTATGTTTTAAACTACTCTACTAAGAAATTGTTTCACAGTAAGGATTGTTCGGTGCCAGACTGAGGAGTCAGTATCTTAACTTTTTTAATGTTTTGTTATTCATGCCTGCTGACGTTCCGTAAACAACTTGGTGGTTTTTCTTTTAAAAATTTTAATCAACATCAGCATTGGAGAGCTTTTTTAAGAGACAAAATGTTGGGTTTTCATTTTTTAGAGCTTAACAAATATATCTTGCTGATTTATGAAATGACGTAGATTTTGGAAGAAAAAGAGAACATAACCATGCATTTTATCAACCTTTTAAAAATCAATAACAAAATGTATTTATTATTATTAAATACATTTAATTGTAATTAAATATATATAAATGTGTTAAGATTTGATAGTTCAAGGGCATTTAGTGATAGCTTAATATTCAAACATTTAATGGTGCTAATATAAATAATACCTGTACATTTTATTGGCGAGATAGATATTTAACGATATTTTTCAATTTTTAATTTCTTAATTGAGAAAAATCAGATCATTTTCATGCTAATTATATTGCCCAAGGAACATTTAATTTATAGCAGTTATTGTTTTTCATGTTTTTTTTAATGCTGAACTTGTTTTCATGATTGCCATCGTACTATTTGTGTTGTAGTTATTGTTGTACGTAGTTTTGGTTCTTTGTTCTTGGAACTTTGGGTTATTCATTTGTTGTTTTTGTTGGAAAAAATATGGAAATGTGTTTTATTTTATTTTTGTTAATATTAAAGCGATTTTTTTTGTTTCATTTAAAGTGTGTGGCCAAGCCATTTTGTGTATATAGGTGTTAGATGTAATATTGCAACAAAACTCCTGTTTATCCCATTTCACTTAAGAATTATAATGTTCAAGTTTTTTTTGTTTCTTTGATTGGTTCACTCAATATATTTTCGTGTGCGTTACCTTTTATTGTTGGTGATATTTTTACATTTGTGATACTGGTGCTTTTTTTTATAAATTTGAAATTAAATCTTTTTGGACGAAATTTATACAGGATGCAAAAAATATATTTTTCATAAAAAATTGTTAAGATTCATTTGTTTGTTTTGTGCATGTCGTTTATGTTTTTATTAATAGTTTTATTAATAGTAATAATCGGGTTTCTTGTTGATGCGTTACTTTATGTTCTTTACTTGGTCTTTTCAATTTTGTTTCGCTTGTAAAATCCTTTTTATTTCATTCTTCAATGACTTTTTTCAGTCGTTTGAGATTTGTTCTTCATAAGTTTATTGAGTCTGATGGTCAATCTAATTATAATATTAACAATATTTATGACCTATAAATTAAGTTTTTATCTAGCTTATTCGAATGTGTAATGATGATTAATTACTACTAAATTTCTTAAACTTTTAAAAGTTAAGTTTTACTCATCATCATCATCGTTGTCATCATCGCCACCATCATCGTTATCACTCATGTTATCTGCAGGTCCTATGTGCAAACAGCCACACCATAAATGGGGGGTTACAAAACTCTATAACTTGTGTAAAATGCTTTTTATTATATATGTGTATATACTTATATATATATATATATATATATATATATATATATATATATATATATATACATATGACATACATGCATATATATATATATATATATATATATATATATATATATATATACATTGTTGTGTTTATTGTTGTTTAACGAACTTAATGTTGACTAAAATAAAACTACTAAAAAAACAACAATTAAATGCATTTCGAATGTATTTAATCATGTGAAACATATTTTTTTTGTATGAAATGAAAGTTGCTTTTCAAAATTTTCTCTTTAGCAAACAACAATGAACAACAATAGTTCTAATGGGATTGTTATTTTTCCAAAACAGAAATTGTCAATTTTTGTATGGGCATTACACTGCCTTATAGAGCCATGAAATTTTAATTTATTGTGTTCAATTGTTCAATTTCCCTCTCTCTCTCTATGTATGTATATATATATATATATATATATATATATATATATATATATATATTTGTGTGTGTGTATATATGTATATACATATATGTGTGCATATATATATATATATATGTATATACATATGTGTGTGCATATATATATAAATATATATATATATATATATGTATATATACATATGTATGTGTATATATATATATATATATATATATATATGTGTGTGTGTGTGTGTGTGTGTGTGTGTGTGTGTGTCCGTGTGCCTTTAAAACATTTAATTTTATATCTGTGGGTTTTTAAAATGGCTGGTAGTAAATAGATCTAAAGAGTAATCTTAGTTTAATGCAAGCAAATACTTGATACAGTTGGCATTATTTACCTTTTTTATGTACTTCTAATAATCGCAACTGAGCAGTATGATATATGTATATATATATATATATATATATATATATATATATATGTATATAACCTTATGTTTATCTATTTATTATGACAAATAATAAATAAACATCATTTACAAAAATTATGGATAAATTTTCCATTACATAATGAATGTAAGCACGAGAGTACGTTTTTTCATATTTCAATGTTTCAGTTTGATCCTTTATAAAACAATTTAATAAGAATTAAAAAAATTTACTTTCGGGACAAAATTTTATCTCATACATAAAAAGATTGATTTTAAAAATTTACTTTAGTCATTCAACCTAAGACCTTTTAATTCTTTAGCAGTTTTTTGAGGGTTCACACCTACCTACTCAACAATTTCATATTCTTTTACTTTGACACATATTGTCGGTCACTACTCAAAAACTTCTTTTGTATAATATTTACGAAAGTCTACCTTTAGTTTCCATCAGGTTAAAATTTTAACATTTTTACACCCGATGTACTACAAGTACCACAATTCTGTCTATTAATTATTAATTGTTCATATTTTTAAATGAAAATCTTGATTTTTGGCTTCAGTTTATCACCATTATAGAGCTTTTTATCTCTATCGGCTTCTAAAAAGTATCTTAAGTTTTGTTATTGTTCTAATCTAATGCATCCCTTCATTCATTCCTTTTCACTGTTACTTTACGATTTTCTGCAAAAACATCTCAGTCTGTAAGATTGTTTATTAATTTTTCTTTGAAGTGTCAAGCACTAAATCAACAATGCTTATTCACAGACTTTATTTTTGTTTTGAGACTTCTCCTGAAGCTTGTGAATTATTTAAAAGGAGTTCAACGACGGATGTGGAATTAGCGTTGAATATAAGAAATGGTATGAAGAAATGTGTGATAAGCACGCATGAAATATGATTAGCTGAGTTTATTTATCTCTACTCTCCTCGAATTTACTTAATTTTTCGATCCTTTTTTCTAGTGCCACGTACAACATTCGTGACGTATACATACTCTAAAGTAAAATACTTTTTTTGGCTTTTCGTGGATATATTTCTTGGTAATTACAACCTCCTTATTCCCATATCTCGTACTTGAGACTGCTTGCAAAAGTTACCTGTAAACATTGCATGCAATGATAGTTTAGTTAAACACCAGCACGACATAAAGAAATCCTAGTCGATGATGCAGGATAGTGCAGGCTTATTAACTATCCATATATGCGCGTGTAAGTACATGTTCACGCGTAACGAATTACATTTGCAATTTTTAGAAAAACTCTATATAAACAAAAACAAAAAATAGGTAGTTATAATAAATGAAAATGTTGTCAAGTTAATTGTCTTAATTGTTGATTTTATTATTTTAGTAGACAACACAAAATACTGAACGTTGTTGTTGCTAGGAAGGTGTAGGTCTACACTTGTGACTGAACGTAAAGGTTGACACGTTCCATATACCAATTTATTAATGCACGTGCATTGCATGTCTTTATTAGACCTGTGTATGTACTCGTGTATATTACAGCAAAAATATCTGTCACGCTGTTTATAGATTATACATGCATGCATAAGCTCTATTCAAATTTATATTTAAAGTATCAGTTTAGAGTGCTCCTATTATTAACGGTTAAGTTGTTTGGTCGTCAGATTTTGATTAGTAGTAATCTTTACATAAGATATTTATTGTAAGATGCAATATGGAACAAGATATGCTTTGTACGACAATTAGTTGTTTAAACAGATTTTATAAATTTTTATCACGTCTAGTTTGAAAAATTAAGTAGGAAATGTTACTAGTAAGTAGAATTTATATCGGTAAGCGATATGAATGTACTTTGGAATGAAATATTCAAATGAATTTTGCACGAAGAACGAATCTATATCGTAGCTATAAGTAATTATTATCGCCCATAAATAATCTTTATTGGACACTAGCTCGACATGCATTCAAACTTCAAAATAATCTTAACTTGTTTTTTTTTATTTGGGTTGAGAGACAGAGAATCAGTAACTCAAGCAAATAGCTTAGACCCAAAAATACTAAACGTTACAGATTATGTAGATAAGTGTGTATATATGTGCGTGTGTGTGTTCTATATAATGAAGTTGAAATAATTTCATGTAAGCATTGGTATGGTTTCAACCCATTGATCACCACTTCTAGACGCACAGAATAACAATCAATGAACATAGTTTTCAGTACTTTAATACACACACACACACACACACACACATATATATATATATATATATATATATATATATATATATTATTACACACACACCACATATTTCCAGTAACGTTATAATTAGGTTTTTTGTTATATATATATATATATATATATATATATATGTGTGTGTGTGTGTGTGTGTGTGTGTGTGTGTGTGTGTGTGTGTGTAATTGTGTGTATATATATATAATGGATTAAGACTGTTTATATATATATATATATGGACAGATTTGTGCGTGTATGTGTGATTTATACTATTTTTTGTTTTATTATGAATTGATTAATATTTATTTACTCAATTAACATATTTCTAAGGCTGTTTTTTTTACGAAGATAAATAAATAAATAAATAGATATATAGATAGATAGATGTCTGGAGATCCTTGATTTAACAATAATAAATATAATGGAAAGCACATGTGTTAAAAATTTCAACCATGCTGGTTTGTTTTGTTATTTGTTGTTGTTTGTGTGAACGCTGATGCTTGTACGTGGTGTATTTCAGTTGTTTTTTCCGTTCCTCTTTGTCATCGTCATCCATATTTGTGTCTAACTACGTAAAACATCTCTTTAATCATTTATTATAAGCTTTTCTTATGTATAAATATTTTCAAATTCATATGGATGAATTAATACATGATTTTTTAATGTACTCATTTATTATTACCATTGTTGTTATAACAATAATTATTATTATTGTAATTATTAATTTGTATTTATTCAGCAAATTGGTTATAGAATTTTTGTGAACTTTTACATTACGCAAAAATTTTTTATTTCTGTTTTATTTTTTGAAATTTAATTACAAAATAGAAGTTTGAAGAATAAGTGAGACCATGCAATCAACGTGTGTTCGTCCCATATTTTGTACAGCCTCATCATTGAAGGAACATCAAATGACAAAAATAAATCAATCAAGGAATTATTCACATGAGACATTTTGTCTGATGGAATACACACACACACACGTAATGTGCTCTACAGTTGAAGATACTTCTTTATCGAGTGCCACATAGTTATATCTTTTTACTGAGATTAATAGAAATAACAACTACTTGTAAATTGATTTAAAAAGCCGAATTTGATTCATTAGGTGCATTCTTATTTACAAGTTACAATAAATAAGAGAAGAAGTTTGCCATTGTTCATAATTTGTAATATTTTTGAAAGTAGGAACCAGACCAAAACGTCGGTCGTGTTCCCAATGATGCATCATACCACTTAACTAAGTGCCGATAAATTTTGTAATTTGAATCGAACAGCGAGTTCATAAATATTAAATGACTCCAAGTAACAAAGCATAAATTTCCTACCTGCTATCTACATCAACTCACTTTTGGCAAGGCAATTTAATGAGTGCAAATTCTTAATGCTTCAAAACAATGGGTCCTTTATTAGAGGCAAAATTTAAAACTTGCTCACAAGTCGTTGTTAAAGATTATGAGTAATAAATTATAGTTATATAAGTTATTTATTGAAATTCTAAAAAATAATTAATATCCCAACGCGTCTACATATGTGCCTGCATATCTCTGTTTAACCGTTTATCTTAAACTTAACGAAAGATAGATAAGTACAATCAAGTATCAAGTATAGGTAGGCTTATGCCAAACAATCAGCATGTAGCAGCTAGCAGGTCGACAAATTCTCACTCATACACGCAGTTGTTAACCTGATATATATTTTGAAAATGCTAAGAATATGAATTCGGTAACGATAAAGAACGAGAAAAATAAACTCGGGCATTTTTATTCAAAAAGCAGGACAAAATTTTAATTACTTAAAAAATGAAGGTGCAACACATTTCAAATTACGAATTATTTATAGAAACCACTATAATGGTAATGAGATAAATAAAATATAATTGCACACCTATGATCTGCTCAGGTGAACCTCTCCGTGCTATTATTATGATGAATAAAATGATTGTTGGGGAGATGGAACAATCGAAGACGACGAACCATTGAATACAAGCGTGATTAAATACAATGCCTCCAATTTATATAAGTATATGTAGGATGATTGATATGAAATTGGGCTCTGTTTCGTTTTTGTGAAATCACCGTGTGTCTGCTGTCTTGTGCAATTGTGCATGTTATGTGATCGTATGGTTCACGTGTTGATGTAGGATGCTTGTGAGATAGAATGACGACGTTGATTTTTGGTCTGCAGGAAAAAAAAACATGCAAAATGTTAAAATAATGTTTGTTGTTCCACTGAACGAACCACTAAATTTCAATGAACCAGTTAAACGTTTCTTTATATTTATTATAAATAACAAATCTGTTTCTCAGAAAATAAAAAAAACTTCAAAAGTGAAAGAAGCCAATGCAATGTTTTTGTTACTGTGAAGTTTTACTGAATTCTTAAAAATATCGACAAAATTGATACAGAGTCTGTCGTTTTTAACATTTTAGACGCAAATCTACACGACGATTCGTTAAACAACCTAAACACAAATAAACAAATGAATAAATACGTATGTATTTACAAGAAATCGATTGAAAATTTTCTAATTCACAAACAGCAAAAATGCTTATAAGATCAATAAACTCAACAGCTAAATCAGACCGGAAATAAACAACGACAAAATATATTTTAATCAATTACTGGATAGTATACAATATTGCTAACAATGTAATCTTCCAAACAAACCAAAGATTACCGTCAAACACATTACATACAAGGAATAGAATACATATAAAATCAGAGAAACAACACGAAATCACAAGTGACAGTGCCTAAGAGCCCTAGCAACTCTAGAGTGTGTCGGTCTGTTGATGGCTGCAGATATGTACATGCCCGCATCAATCAGCATGTTCAAGTCGATTCCCTAAATAAATGAATAAATATTTATTCAAATATCATTTTATTTTTTATGTTAACCAACAAATATTTGTTATCAACATAAAATATATATGGAATTTAACTCTTACAACAACAAAAACAGAATGTAAAGGAAATTGAAAATCTATGGCAGTCATGATGATTTCTTTGATCTCGAGATCAAATGAATTACATTTAATGAAAAAAATAATGGGCAGCCAGATGAATAACGTTTACAGTTTGAATGTTGAGTCCATTGAGCAGGTAGACGACATCTTCGGACGCCACATTCCCACTGGCTCCTTTGGCGTACGGACACCCTCCCAATCCTGCCACACTGCTATCAACCACTGACACTCCCAACTAAATGTCAAGGTCAAACATCGTTTACGAAAATCAATTCAATTATTAGTGAGTTTAAGATAAATAAATAAAAGTAAAAAATTGTCGTAAAGATATCAAGTGTTCGTAATAATAACGAAACTAACAGCCAATGAAGCATAAATATTGGCAAGCGCTTGTCCATATGTATCGTGACAGTGGACTGCTAACTTATCTACTGGCACAACCTTCATGCAAACAAAAATTCATTAAACCTTTTTAATAACTTTAAAATAAGAAAAAATGTAAGGAAAATTCCTCAAAAAAAAGCCGGTTATTTATGTTAGAGGAATCAAACAGTGATGCAGAAGCATGATGGAACAAATACCTTGATAACTTCCATGAGCATGGATCTCATCGTACCCGGTGTACCGACACCGATTGTATCACCGAGGGAGATTTCGTAACAGCCCATGTCGCACAATATCTTTGCTACCTGGATGGGTACACACGAGTATCTGTATATGTGCTTGTTTCTCTCTTACACACACTCTCTCTCTCTCTCTCTCTATATATATATATATATATTATATACTATAGAGATATGATATATATATATATATATATATATATATATATATATATTTTACAATATTCTATAAATTCTACCGAATGTTTGGCGTAAATATATTTGTAATTCGTTTTTTCAATTTTTCTCACTAAAGTTTTTTGTGAACGTTTAGTTTATTCATACTGCAAATAAGGCCATATTTCGATTCCGAATGAATCATCATCAGTGCGGTTGATGTTTATATAGGGAAATATTGACTTGTCAAAATAAACTTAGATGGAAATTAGGTGTCAGTTTTCTTTATTGGCAGGTCATCTACTTTGGTCTCCTTTTCTTCATCCATAGCATCATATTCTTCTTTGTCACTAATTACAATGCTAGTTTTTATTACTTCTTTGGTCTTTCATAATATTGTTGTTTCCTTTGGTTATCAGATTGGTCAGTTTTTTATGAAGTTTTAGTTTTGATGATTGCATATATGCATTTATAAATTCTTTCCGGCATAAGTTTAGTTCATTCTTGACACTGCAATCAACATCACGGTGATCCCATTGATTCAACAATTCAGTGAGTTGATTCGACAAGTCTTGAACTACCTTCCTTTTAACTTCTAATTCTCGAAAGAGATGGAGCAGTCGCTTCTCGCGATCTTGTTCGATTGTTAGATTACGTCGGTTGGTCGCAGAACTTCGAGTAAATGTTGGTAATAGACTATAATTTTTACAATATTCTATAAATTCTACCGAATGTTTAGCGTTAACATGTTTGTAGTTCGTTTTTTCGATTTTTCTCACTAAAGTTTTTTGGTGAACGTTTAGTTTATTAAAATTCAAAATAAACTTATTTTTTCGAATTCATGCTGCAAATAAGGCCATATTTCGATTCCGAATGAATCATCATCAGTGCTCCTTGTTGTATATATAGGGAAATATTGACTTTGTCAAGATGAACTTTGACGTTGTAAAAATTAACTTTGGTGTTGTAAAATTGAATTTTGATGCGAATTAGGTGTCAGGTTTCTTAATTGGCTGGTCATCTTCTTTGGTCTCCTTTTCTTCATCGATAGCATCATATTCTTCTTTGTCACTATTTACGATGCTAGTTTTTATTACTTCTTTGTTTTCGTTGTTGGTTAAGCGCTGGGTTGGAAGTGAGGTTGTCATTTTTTGTTGTATATTTATTTTTGGTTTATTGATGTCGATTAGGACTGCTTCTGCAATTTTAAGATGCGTGTAGTTGCTGTTCTGGTATATTACTTTGGTGTTGCTGTCGAGGATTTCACAGCTAATTGTGATTGAGTGTGTTGAGTCCAAATGAGATTTGATAGCACCACTCTGTTTATTTCGAATTTTAATAAACTAAACGTTCACCAAAAATATGGCCTTATTTGCAGCATGAATTCGAAAAATAAGTTTATTTTGAATTTTAATAAACTAAACGTTCACCAAAAAACTTTAGTGAGAAAAATCGAAAAAACGAACTACAAACATATTAACGCCAAACATTCGGTAGAATTTATAGAATATTGTAAAAATTATGGTCTATTACCAACATATATATATATATATATATATATATATATATATATATATATATATATATATATATATATATATATATATATATATATATATATATATATATATATATATATATATATCGATCTTATTATGAATGTTTGCTAGTATGCCTTAAAACATGGGCATTACTTTTTTAAGCAAATTGAAGTCGTCTAAACGTAATATATTCACGCAATTCATGTGTACTTCTATGTGTTCTTATATAGGTACGTGTGTTCATATAAGATGTCAGATGGTTCTGTCTGTTCTAATATTCCTCAGACTGACTGTATTGAATTTCTTATCGACTGATGCATCATGAGTTGTTTATACCGTCGTTTCTTTTTTTTACTGCCTCTACTATTCTGCTACCATATCAACGTAATTGAATTAACAAATAAACTAATAAGTTATTGAACAAAACTTTTGAACAAACAATTATTGATAAAAATCACAGCATGTTCAGCATTAGTTAACTTCCAATTTAACTTTTCAATTTTTCTAACGGTTGATTGTAAATCATTTTCAAGTTTCTAAATTAAAAAAATTCTCTATGTAATTTTTATAAATTTTGGTTCCAATAAGTTGCAGCCTTTCCAGCAACAGCTATATTCTAAAAAACAATTGCGTACAAAATATATGTTTTCATGCATAAATTACAAAAAAATGTGGAATAAGCAAAAAAATGGCTGTCAACTTTTTTTTAAAAAAATTCAAGTCCCATCCTAAGAGAATTTTAGGCTGAAATGCTCACTGAGCAGTAGTGTTGTTATGCGGTAAGTGATGGTTATTGTAGCAGTGGTTGCAAATGTGCAAAAATGTTTACTTACTTCTGCAACTTTTTGAGGTTTTATGAGGCCCTCGTAAGGACAACCAATGACACATGAAACGTAACTGTTTGAAAAATATAAAGGAAAGTGTCAATCAAAATTGTTACTTCATTCAACGAAGAGATTTTCATTATCTAGGCAAGCACACACATACAAAGCATACATACAACTGTAGACACACCTACAATGCATACATACATACAACAGCCAACACACACATACAATGTATACATACAACAGCCGACACAAACACACACACAGAGCAGTAGTAATACCCGCGAACGGGAATGTTGTTGATTTTTGCCATCTCCATCACATCCTCACATCGTTTCAGACTTTCCAGCACAGAGCAGTTGACATTTTTCCTGTCATGGCGTTATAAAGACCATGTGTTAATAATTGAAATTGATAATTGCTGAACTATTCAACTTATAGCGAAAAACAAAAATTGAGTGAACTCCATATTAAAAATTTATTTAATACAGCATGCAATCGTATAATATACATATTACTGTCATAAATATAATGGATGTTGTGTGTGCAATCAAAGGAGATAGCATACCGAGTAAAAGATTCTTCCAAAGTAGAAACCATTTTTAAAACCAAGGCATCAGAGGAGTGAATAAAATGTGATGTAATAAAGTCACTCAATAAATAAAATTAAATCTCAAAAAATAAATTACCTGCTGAATGTTTCGGACGCAGCACTGAATATTGCAACCTCATCTGCACGAGCCTTCATCTTTGCAAGTTACATTTCAAGGAAAAATAAATAAACACCAACATGTGATATATAAACACTATTTATATATACATATATATTGTGCAATAAACAGACAACAGAACTTACTGCATTCTCAAGACCTTTGATGTTTGGCGTGAGAGCTGCGTATGTGATGCCTTGCTTTCGTGTTATGCCCTGTAACACCTGTGCATTGTCAAACATCTGAGGAATCCATTTTGCTGATACAAAACTTGTTGCTTCAATGAACTTGACGCCAGTTTCAGATAATTTGTTTATGAATTCTATTTTCACTGCGGTTGGGACTATCTCCTGAAACAATAAAATGATTATTTGAAAAATTTCAAAATATGTATATAATTTAAAATATTCACAAAGTTTGAGATATTAATATTTTCAAATAAAAAATTGATGACTTTATGAATAAATAAACATTTTCTTATAACAAGTTGGACATCTCGTTATAACTTAATTATAAATCTTGGTCATTTCAATTAAATTATATTGGAATGTATTTTGAGCTGAGCATTATATTGTATTTATGACATATCTATGGTGGTCAACATTTAAAATTTATATTACAGATGAATGAGATAAACATTTATGATGTTTGCAAGCAAATTGCAAAATGAGTTTAAAAAAATGAAAATAGGAACAAATTTTATGATGAAATGTTAAATTTTAATTTTGAACATGAAAAATTTAATGCCTTTTCATTTTGAAGGCCATCTCTAGGCCCAACTTCAACAATTTTAACAAAAGGTGGCAAACTGACTACCTGAATTAAAGATGTTATTAAATTAATAAACTTTTAATCAACCACAAGATAATCTTCTTTACAAGCAACATTTTTAAAATAAAAAATACTTAGCAGCAAAAAGCAGAAGGAAAAGAGAGCCAACAAAGCAAAAAGTGCACTGAGATTGATGATGGTAAAAAAGGGATGAAGTTAATTTTTATTATTTCAACTAATTTTTATATTTTGTATTATAATAAATGATATTAATATAAATAAGGTCAAATGTTCTTAAAAATTTAATTTAATTATACTTTATAGCTTTCAATATAATTATAATAGTTAAGTATGCAATCAAGTAAAATAATGCATTTTACTGTGCGCTTACGATCATTGACAACATCTGAAACCTAGAGAAACTTACAGAGCTACTTGTTACGGCATATTTGAAATATCCTAAAACGTTTGCATATCGGTCAAAATTAAGATTTTTAAGCCGCAAATTTTTTAAAGTACTACGTAATGCCATAGTTGTTATTATTTCTTAAATTAACTTTTTTAGAGGTGGGCGATGCACGGAACTGATGCCACTATTTCTTATTCATTTTTTCAATTAATAAAACATATTTACATATACTATTTTTTGAAACAATTTTTAAATTATAAAATTATTTAAAATTTAAAATTGTTTCAAAATATACACTCACACTAACAAACATTTAATAAAACACGCAAACACACACACACATACTCTCATAAATTTACAATATTGTGTTGCACCGAGCACATCCCTGCAACACAGCCTGCATATGTTCTTGTTTATAAACAAACCATGAGGACTCTTCTAGAAAGATTTTTCCAATATATATATATGTATAGATACTGGCGAACTCCGATTTTCCGGATTGGTTATGTGATTGGTAGTTAGGTTGGTTCGTTGATTTGTTGGCCTTTCTTTTTTAATTTAACAATGACCTTGATTTTCATGATTAATTACTGAATTTATTAATCGAATTGTTAGTAAGTTTATTCAATTGTTTATTACTTTTTAAGTTTTTATTCTTTATTGTTCATTTATTAATTTTTTTATGTTTATTTTAATTACTAAATACTGTAAAACAGCCTTGAATTTTGAATGTATGTCGATGAATGATGCATATGCTTATGCATGCATATGCAACATTCATTAATTCTTAATTCATTCATTCATATGGGGCTCGCTATGTAGCTCTTTTTTTTGCTAGCTATCATACTTATCAAAAATTATTAAATATTATTAAATATTAAATAATATCATATTTTTATTAAAATTTTTAACTATAGCTGTTCCATAAAATAGGCAAACAGAAACACATTGCAAAGCAAAGTAGCAAAGAGGACGATTCGTCAACCAGGGTTCTCGTTGACTCAGAATTAGGTGATTTGCCATTTAGATCTAGAAATCAAATTTTCACAACGGTCAGTTTATTTTTGGCGAATTTGTTTTCAATGAAAAAAAATTTTGTTTTTATAAATTTATGATGAACTTATAAAAATCAAACGATATCCATTTATAGATACATAAAAATTTCCAGCAGTGATTAAGTACTGACACTAACTTTTTTTATATTTGACAGAAAAGAGGTTGGATTGGCCCTTCCAATTAAAAGAAATGGGTAAGGATTATTACCAGATTCTTGGTATTGCTAGAAATGCAACTTCAGATGACATAAAAAGGTCATATCGCAGAATGGCTCTCAGATATCACCCAGATAAAAATAAAAGTGCCGATGCCGAAGCCAGATTCAAAGATGTCTCTGAGGCTTATGAGGTTCTTAATGACTCAAACAAACGTACCTTATATGACAGATATGGAGAAGAAGGTCCGAGAAATGGAGGGGAATCGACATCATCATCATCGACGAGCACTCAGAATCAATGGTTCTCATCTACCTCGCGCAATCCTTTTGAGACCTTCAGAACATTTTTTTGTAGTTCAGATTTTACTGATTATGATATATTCAGGGAAAATGATGAACTTTTCCGGGGTGCAGGGGGTTTTAATTTCAACAACTTCGACTCTAAATTTTTTTTAGACAATGATGACTGGATAGAATTTGGAGGGTCGTCTCACCAGAGAAACAAGACAAAAGTGCAAGATGAGCCCATCACGTACAATCTTCCAATTTCTCTAGAAGATGTTCTCACTGGCAAACTGAAGAAGATGAAAATCACGAGGAGAGTTATCAACGAGGAAACTGGTGCAATCTCCATGCAAGACAAACTGCTGTATGTCAATGTTAAAAAAGGTTGCTTGGCTGGAACGAAGGTAGCTTTCCGATCATTGATCATTATTTTACTTTATTCTGGTTGCTACTTTTGTTTACCAAAGATCCTTATTTATATTTTATATTCTTTTGAATATGAATTTTAAAATTGACTTCACAATTATAACTCAAACTTTTCAATATTTCTAGTTTTCATATCAATGTAATGTTATTCAAAGTTTGTGGTTGTTAAATGTGAACTGACTTTGTTGCGCCCTCATTCAGATGACATTTCCTCAGGAAGGAGATAGATTGAACAGCAGTCGACTTCCAGCCGACATCGTGTTTATCGTGGAAGACAAACCACATTCGACATTCACCAGGGAAGGCAACAACCTCAAATATAAGGCACCCATAACTCTTCGAGAGGTCTGCACGATGTTTGCCTAGATGTTTTTTGTTCTGCCATTCTTTGTGTAATAATTTTAAAAATTTGTGTTTGCTCTTTGTAGGTTCCAGTTCACATAAATGAAAATCTTATTTAAACATAACTCAGTATGCTAATACCATTATGTCATTCAATTAATATGGGCAGCACGATGGTTAAGAAGATGCCTGACATTGCTGATGCAGGGTCAGAGTTTGATTGAATAGATCCTCACCTACCACATGCTGAAGTGTTTGCTGCATTGATTCATGTGTATCTTTACTCTACGTGTTTGTTGTAATAATAATAATAATGTGCCTCAGTCGCTTGTTGTGGCACTATATTGATGGCATTATTTGTTGTTGGCATCATTTTGTCGGACTTTAAATGTTTTCTGTAATAATCTTCTAACGTTTTTACTGTTCGTCCCTAAAACAGCTTTTTTGTTTAAATGTCGGTTTTTCATGATTAGCTTCCAAGTATGTGATCGACATGTTGATTGACACTGTTTCTAGGTTGGATCAGAACTTGGTCTGGTTTCAGTGGTTTCTATTTCTTCAACATCCTTATCTTGGACTGGCTGTGGTAATCACAGTAACTTGTTGTACTGCTAATCGTAGAAGCATGAAACAGGATGTATCTATCTCTTACTGAATGTAATGAAATAACTTGCCTGCAATGAATGCTTTTCTCTGAACTAATTTAATGTTTATTGTATCAAAGATAAATTGTCTTTTCAAAAAAATTACTGAAGTGTTTGAGCATTACAACTCAAATTTCATTATCAGCTGTAATCACAAACGTACATCTCATTGGCTGCTTTATGAAGACTATTAATTAAGTGTTTTGATTCTAAAGATGTGAAAATTGAGTTGGATGATATTTTATTGAAAATGTTATGATGTTGTATTTTGATTTTGATCTTATTTGTGAAATGTAAGTATTTTTTATTTTTTTAAAACGAGTATTTGACCTTATTATTTTGCGGCGTTCCTGTTAATGTGGAAGTAGACATCTGCATTCATTGCAGCTGGATGGTTACGTCAACTGGTTCAAGTGTGCGTGCATGTGCAGTAGCCACTGTAGATTTGTTGGCGAGAGTTAATTTATTATAATTCCTTGGTTGGTATGAAATAAATGTTTTGCAAATATATTTTTCAGGCTCTCTGTGGAAGCACACTGTTCATACCAACACTCGGCAGCCTCACAAAGATAACCCTGGAAACAGATGGGGTCATTGGACCCACTTCTACGAGACTCATTAAGGGACTTGGTCTGCCACTCCCCCATCAGCCTAACGACAGAGGAGACCTGATCATTGAGTTTGACATCAAGTTTCCAACAACATTATCACAGGACACGAGGGAGATACTGACAGATTGTTTAATTGATTGTTAGATATGCTTTAGGAAAGATGAACCTTTAGATTATTATTATTTCATTTTACTTTCTTATGATTCATATTATTTAGAAAATTAAAACAGTAACGAGGTGTAACAACATTGTGTGTGTCGTTAGGTCATACTTACAGTAGGGCATTTAAAGCGTTCATTTCATCATCTTCAATGGTTTCCTTCATTTCTTCTCTAATCATTTCCATTGTTGCTCCATGGAATGAACGGACTGTTTATATGCAATAACATTTAGTAATAACACAGCTGTAATTTAATGTGATTTATAGGCAAGCACTTATGAATTCATACGTTAACTCTGTTATCCTTTCCTCTCAAACTAATCTCTTAATGTCAGTTATGCTCATTCAACTTGCATTTCATTGCGGGAAATTGTATTATATGTTGTTTACAGATTCTTTTGCAGCTGTTACATGGTATTTTCGACGGGTCTGATGAGAATGGTGTGGTCTGATTGATTGTGCCCTATTTTGCTTCTTTTTTTAATGACTTTGTATGATGGTTGTGTGCTGAATCCTAGTGCCAATATCAAACTTCACACCATGTACATATACACCTTATGCAATTATGTGTTTTCGCTGAATTATTTATTTCCTCTATTTGATTTATGTATCTTTTCGTTCGTCTCTTCGTGTAATTTATTTTATTTATTTTTTTTTTCAATGACAGATGAGCAGATCATAATAATGTTTAAATAGTACATTTAACATCGTGGCTGCGATTTGTTCGATTATGTTTAGAAACCCGCTCTTTTATCAATTTTAGAAAATTGACTGATGTAGAAAAAAATTCAAAATAAGCAGTTCACTTGTTGACGATTCTATTTAAAAAGCATCATTCACATTGTAGAAACGAATTTCGAAATATAAAAAGCATGCAACACATAAAGCACAGTGTAATATAAAAACAGTTAGTATTTGTGAGCTACGGATAACAACAGTTCTCGTATTTAGCACGGCTAGGAGTGATCGGCGTTCGAGTTCGACGGTGGGCCACCTACGTTCGTAATTGCAATATTAAGATGAACTTGCGAGCTTATGTTTGCATTGACTATCTACGATTTTGTGTACGAAACATAAAATAGCAAACTAACAAATAAACGTGGAACGAGAACTCAAGTTGTTTAGGCTGCTACAATCGCGAGATGACGATCGCTCGTTTAGCATGATGGGGCGTGGAAGTGTTGCTGCTAGCTACTAACGCTTCGCTGCTACTAGCGACATGCCTATTAAATACACAGCCACTGTGTTAGTGTGCATGCTGCTACAACGTCCAGCCAGTCCAAAAATTGATCAATGACAAACGGACATTCATTGGAAGTGATCGAATATCAAACGTAAGAATTTTAGTTTACAGTCAATGAATAATGTAAAATACTGGAAACAAAAGAACGGAAAGTATTTTAAATAGTCAATAGATATAGCAACACGTACGGAAAATTAATTGAAAATTTTAAGGTTACAATCAGATAAATTTTAGATCTTTTAAATTAAAAATTTTTTAAATCTCATTTTTATGAAATTGGACAAGGAGAATGTATACAATGCCAAAAGCAATATCAATGCAACAATGTGTCGCGCGGATTCACTCGTTACGCGTTACAATAATTAGTTTCACCTTTAAAAATGACTTGAATTTAACTTTAATAAATTAATCATTTTAGCTTACCGGACAACATGCAAAATAAAACACTGCAAAATGTTTTAAATATTTCCCAGAATAGCCAGTAGGAGACGTTTGTAATCGCCACTGCAGTCGGAGGAGATGTAATCTGAGAGGGGCTGTTCGTACATGGCGTAGAATGCTCCAGCTATCGATGCCAGGTCATCCTTCATTTGACATTTGGTTAGTTGGTTATGTTTAAAGTTAATCTGAATTTTAATTTTATTAATTTAATAGCGAAATCGTCTGTAGCAGTGAGTAGTGTTTAGCACTCAATTAATAACCCACTTCAACGAACTTGGGTTGTTTGGTCCGCTTTGACATTTTCAAGTTATTGGTCCTTACTCCTCTTCACTTGTATGTACAAATAAAACTATAACCTCTTTTAAATACTTGAACAGCACAAACACGGCAAATGAAGTTTAACAGTTAGTTATTTTTCTTAGAACCTTTTTTTTATCTACTAACGTTCTTATACTTAATCTTTAATTTTAAACTGGAAATTCTTTTAACTTTATGTATGTCTTTTTTTCTCTTCGACTTTTTCTCAACCGCTCGCTTAACTTCGCTCTCAAAAAACGAAATCAGTTAAAAAAACAGTGTTGAACGCCGCTTGAACCTCGTGCATAAGCGTATGACGCTTCAAAAAATTGAAAGCAAACTCGTAAAATAAGGCAAATGTCATGTGCAAAGACAGAAGAAAGGTAAATGGATAACCTCCGATCTGGTGACGATGATCCTGATCAGCGTTCGATCGTCGGTGCCTGCCCCCTTCATGCTCTTGTACAGACATTTGGCGAAGAAGAGGCTGGGATCTTTCGTGTACTGCACTGTTTTGCATTAATTTATTTCGGCGTTTATTATAAAACTGGCATTTTAAAATTGTTTTATTTAAACATTTAACACGTCATAACGATTAATTTTTTTCTTGCCATTTTTCCAATAGAAAATTGAAAACATCAAAAAAAACGAAACAAGAAAGTGGACAAATTTTGATTTTGAAATGAAAGATGATGATGAGAAATGAGGGTTGTTGTTAACTGACCGATGGTAAGCAGACCATCTCTGAGGTTTCCTCCAGTTTCCTTCTTGATGGTGTCCTCAATGTCCTCGCCATATTTCTCTTTGTACCGTTCAAACGTTGCATACAACTGGTTGTAACTACGACTCGATAGAATGGCATTGAATGTCTCTGCATCTGCTCCAAACTTTTTCTTGGCTGCCTGAGTTGAGGCAGTTTTGAAAAAATTATTTTAAAATAAATGTATAATTTAGATTGGTCGATGAGCGAATAGTTAACAAGCGATTTAAACTGTGAAATAAATAAAAACGAAAAAATTTCAACAAAATGTACTTAATAAAAAACAAACAATAAAAATAAACAAACTTTGTTGATTTCGTCCACATCCTTCTCCACTCTGTCGTAATCAACGGGGCCCTCGTCCTCTCGGAAAGCATTGCTTTGTGCGACCAGGAGATGTTTGATGTGCCCGCTCGTATCTTCTATGATGTCACTTTCCAACTCACGTCCTGTCACTTTAACAATTAAGTTTCGCTCAGAAATTAATCCAATCTTTTCAAAGCAAATGTCTAAACAATTGCAATTAAATTTAAGATATAAATTTTCAATCATAATCTTCTACCATTTGTTGATATTGTCATCCAGTGCACTTGAAGTGTATTTTGCTATTTTATTTAAATAGCCGGCAAACTAAATTTATTTTTTTTAATAAATTTTTATTAAAATGTATTGAAAATTTACGTTTTTTATAAGCACTCTTTATTTCAATCAGATCTTTGTTCATGTGCGCACACAGGATTTGAATCAGGGCTGTCTCGTCCGTACCGGCTCCCTTGACATTTACAAAAATTTTACAAATAATCTCCAAATGTTCAAAAATTTCAGTTTAATGTTCTACAATCAGATAAAAGAATTCAATTTTTGTCTTACGTAATTTTCAACCTTTTGAGCATTCATTCAATATGAGATAATGAAGAGCAAAACAAAAACCTTCATGGCTCTGGCCAAGTCCTTGGCGAGAAACTCGTACTTCGGAGTCATGAGTGCAACCACCGTACTTTCAAAATAGCCGCCCAACTCAGCCTTCAAATCTTTTATCAGATCCTGTAATATTTACAAATACCTTAACATAAACGATAAGCATTAGAGCCAATTACTAAAAAATTATACAATGAAAAAACAAATTCCATGTATATAAATTGTAATTTCCTCGCTTGCAAATAATCCATAAATCAACCAACGCGTCCGAATAAAGTTTTGTAAACATCTATTATTTCTTGTCTTTGTGCATTGTCGTGACTCACAAGGACGTCAATTATAATTTTCTCATCGGCACCTAAATTAAAAATTGTTTACAAACAGTGTAACTTTCTTTCCAGACAGGTTAAAAGATGAAATGAAGCAGATGACCACCAACTGACCTGCACCCTTCATGGCCGCCCGCAACTTCTTGGCTGCTTCTTCTGAGTTGAAGTGGGGGTTGGGAATGACCTGTCATGATAAATCAGCGTGCACGTCACTAATGCGATACGAAAAATTTATTTCCTACTTATCGAGTTTAAATCTGCGTCCATTGTGCACATTACAACACAACGCAAACGCAATTTATTCTTGCATAGGGCGAACAAATTTACGATCTCATGAATAATGCAAACATTGAAAATGATATTGATAAGCAAATCTAACCGTCGCCATTTTTACTTCTTGCCGTTTTTAAAATATTTCCTGGTGAAAAATCGCACGAGTGCAAACAGCGGTATCGCCCTAGTCACCTGGTAATCAGATGCTGCTGCTGCTGCTGTTTGTTGCAGCTTGTACGTCGGCTGGAGGGGATGAAGAGGACGAAGATGAAAAGGAAGAGGAGGATAACAACGTCGATCACGACGGAATGTAGGGCGCAAAAATGAAAGTGGATGCATGCCTGTCGTAAATTTATACGAAGTGCTTGTCAGTTTCAATGTGGTTATTATCGTTTCAACTTTCCATGCCTATACATTCTTATAGATGCCTACAAGGTGGTTATGAAGATTAATAACATTTAGCATCGAGAAGAAAGTTTGAATTAAATTAACAGGTAAGAAACAATTAGAAATAAAAATAGCTAAATGATTTCATTTAACATAGTAGCGATATAAGAGTTAATAAACGATATTCGAACACTTTTCAGCTGACGAACGCGACGTTTTATGCGATTATTCATCGAAATATTGATTCCCGGGCTGTAGCGTTCCACACGATAGCAGCGGCATACAAGCATGCACAAATCGGCGTATGAACGTCTGAGTGCAGCAAATTCTCGCTATACGTACACGTGAGACATACCTATCTGGCAACGAATACTTGTGTAAACAACAGCAAAAGAATCGTTAGGTCCCCAGACGATAAATCACCGAATGATGTACTAGCAAGCAATTAAAGACACCGTGGGACGACATTACAATACGATGCCATTCGAGGTTATTTATGCACTGAGAAGTTTGCAGGTTTGCTCTTGAATAATTTTCCAACAATTTCCGCTCAGACATGGTTTTAAAGAATAATGGATAAAATTAATTATCTGACCCACATATGGACACTTGTGGAGAATCCTGACTGTTCAGATGCTGAACGACTGACTAACAAAAACTGATCTTCAATCCAATCAAACGCACAAGTCAATCAAAAAATCGGATTGAAAAAAAAAATTCTCGCTTTTTTTTATAAAATTTTCTCAAGTGATACTTCATTAAAAGAAAAAATAAATTTAAATGTAATGATTTCAAGAACAATGCGAGGGCATACATACATTTTAATGATCAGAACTGTATCGTTAGCATATTATCGCATACCAATTAGAATTATTTACTTAGAATACTTTTTGGCAAATGAGAACGAATTCGATATGTGCTACAGATAATAATGCAAATTAAAATCGTAACAATTGGATGATTTATTTAAATGACGAGGTATCATCGTTGTAGTTGTCATTATCGCACAGTCCTATCTTGAAGTCTTCATCGGTTCTTGATAAGTCTCGGATAATTTGAGGTTCAAAGTTTTGTCTTGACGCCCTGGTCAGAAGGTCGGCATAGAGTGGCAGGCGTTGGGTCATCTGGTCATTCATTGTTGATTTGTTGTAGTATTGCTTGTTTTTAAATTATGAATAATAATTAACCTTAATAATTTATAAACTGTTACAAGACTAAAATAACGATGGAGTACAACAAATAATCTTTACTTTAATCACGTTATATTTTAAACTGTATTTTTTTTGAAACATTTAAAGCCAATATAAGCATTGAAATGGTAGCATTTAAAACTATCACCGTATGTACAAATAGATTGAAATAACGAAGCTGATGAATAACGTGTGAAAAAACATATGAAAAAATAAAAATTAAATTTGTTAGAGGACAAAGACCAAACAGAACAACAGAATTAGTACGTACCCTGAAGCCCCAGTTATCCTTCACTTGACGACACAAGTTCAGATCACAATCAACCACAAGAAGGCCGTCATTCAATCTTGACAAGCCCTTCATAACCGTGATAATTTTATTGTTAATGACGATTCTAACATTCAAAATGTAGTTATTTTCTCAATCATCTCAATCAAATCTTAAATTTTAAATTATTATAAACTACAACTAAACTACAATTCAACTAAACAATGAATAATGAATTAATGAGAAATGAAGTTGGAAACCAACGGGCGTCCTGCATCCATCAGGGGCAGCCACATAACTCGATCCATAAAAATGCCCAAACTCCTTGTGTGCTGGTTTCTTGTCGCCTGATGTGAACTCGTGTGGGTAGACCTCCTGCAATTATTTCCACCAAACAATACTCAAAAGTTTTACTCTGTGGCTACATTTAATGTTACACAGCTGTAATGTGATGTACAAAAAAACAGTAAGATGAATAAATGGCACAAATGATAAATAGAACAAACGAATGAAATAAGGACTGACAGTTCCAACTCTGTTGACGGCGCATGCGTAGTAACTGTTTGCTACAGCTGCATTCCTGGCTTCTATGGGCCACAGTGGCTCGCTGTCGTTTAATTTATAAAGAACATATAATTAAAAAAGGACAAATCAGTCAAGCAATAAATTAATCCGATGATTTAATACCCACCTCAAGCCAGATACAGTAGCAGATGGGTTGAAAACAATTTCAGCTCCATTCAATCCGTAGGCCATCCAGTTCTGCGGATGGTGTCTCCCGTAGCATATGTTCACTCCTAACTTGCCTGCAAGTTAAAATTTCATGTAATCTCATTACTGGTACTGACTGTATAATAATATGGACGAGTTGTAAAATTTTATCTTAAACAATGGAACAACGAACCATAGCAGGTATCGAAGACAGCATGTCCCATGTCTCCTTCGATGTAATACGAGGACTGCAATTCATGTATCATGAGTGAATCATACAATCAATTAGTTTGTTCGCTAAATATAATTAGACATTATATAAAACATTTTTTCATATCCCTTTAACAATATCAAATAGTAAGTTCGTAGTTAATACAGCCTGTAAAAAAGCAAGCAGTTAAATAATAATTATCAAGTAATTATATCGGCAAAGAAAGAGTTCTGGATGAAACAGACTTCATTGAAATCTCCAACTCGAGGTATGTGATTCTTCCTTGTCTTGCCAATGACCTTGCCAGTGTTTGATATTACAACTGCATGAAAATTGTTACGAAATTGAAACAAACACTTAATGACAAAATAGTTACTTAGAAACTGATCAACTAACACTAGATGACAATAAATAGCAGAAATTTAATAAATTGCCGCTATTATTTTCAACTATCAGCCATAACTAAACTCAGAGTAAAACATTATTCAACGAAACTATAAGCCAATGAAATTATGAACCGACAAAACAACCAGCCGACCAACCAACCAACAAACCTGCAGTATTAAAAATTTGATCTCCGTTGATTTCATCACGTTCCAGTATTGGAGATATTATAACCATGTTGTATGTCTTGGCGAACTTTTTACATGAAAAGTCAGATATAAACATAAATATAATTTGATACTTAGTCTAAATATTTTTTAAATTTTAAAACCATAAAAAATTATTGACAACATAGAGATAAAGTAAATAAAAAGCTACAAGAGTACCAGCCAAAAAATGTACAGGCGTACCAACGAAAATACCGAAGTACTAACATACAGGACAAAGTACAGGAGTACCAACGAGAGTACAGAAGTACCAACCAAAGTACAAAAGTACTAATCAGCAGACAGAAGTACTAACTTCAGAGAGCATTTTAGTTGAGGGTCCAGTGAGGGCATCCTCTGCAAGCTCCAGCCATGGATCTTTTTCTCTCGTGCACATGAAGAATGGAGAAGCTGTTCAACAAGTTTGATGCCGATTTACCACGTTAAAATAATTGTAACAGTGATAATAATAAATTACTTTATACTGAAAATGTCATAACAACTGATGCAAATAGCAAATACTCACTCCAGCATTCTTGCAGGCAGACAACATTAACATTGTTGTGGCCCGCAACGTCAAGAATTTCACCAACCCTCTCCATAATTGCATCTCTCTGTTGAGAGTTCATTTATTTTTCCATAAAATTACGGCGTCGACTGCAACGTTATTAAACTAGAAAAGTTTCATAAAAAATGATAAGCATGATGCAAATATAAATGCAGATCCAATAAAAAACAAATATTAAATTAAAGGGAATGTAATAAATTTTAAAAATCGAATCAAATTAAAAAGAAAGATCAGACTGAAAGAAAATAAATAGAAAAAAATAGTAATTAAACTGAAAACATGGAAAATTGATTTTAAATTAAGCAGATGATAGTCAATAAAACTCCAAAAATTATTGTAATATTGAACATCTATTCAATCGATTTGATTTGAAAGTGCAAATTATATAACTTGATAATTAAAACATTATATAATAAATAAAAATTCAACAAGGTCATAATATTTATGCATCAAAATTAAAATTCTTTCGAAAAGCAACTACACCCTAATAACCTGTTTATCGATTGGCTCAGTGGTTTCAAGAACAATTTTGTGCTGAATAAGACCAACCCTGGTTATTCTTGGAGGTCGGATGCGTTCTGGCTTGCCTCTGATCTCAAATCCTTCAAGTTCAAGATTCATCAATATGCACTTGCTCAGAACATTTTCTTCAAATTTTATTTGTCTAGTGATTTCAAGTGGTATGGTTTTATGGTAAAAAAAAATGGTCACTACAAACTTTTAAAATAATTCAGAATGTTTGAAATAGCATTAAATAACATAACTTCCAGTAAATAAATAATTTTATTAATGAAGTTATAAACAACTTTAGAATTTCGTTTGAACAATTCATACTTTAATTCTCTGCCATAAAGAAATGACCAAACTTTTTTCAAATCATCTTGAGGAATGTTATTCTTCAACAAACATTCTAAACTTTCAACTTCTTCAAACTTGTCCTAAAAATGAAAATTAAATTTTTAATAAATTTTCATAAATGGTATAAATAAATAAAAATTTTGTAAAAATTATATATATCCCTTAAACAGAAAAACAATTAAATTGAAAATTAATGTGTAATCGTCCTAATTTTTTCGGGGTTTCTATGAATTTTATAGAATGTAGAAAGAAAATCACCATTGCCAAAAAATTACCAAACAGAAGATTTAAAAGGAATAAAATTAGTTATGCTACAGCTTAAACATACAGTTCAATCAACGAAACACTTTGTTGCTAGATATGAATGTAGAGAGGGTAACATTTAAAGAACCTGCATGATAGAGCAATTGTCCAAAGTCTGATCAGTTTAAAAACAACTGCTTACTTACTATAAAATTTCAAATCTTGCCAAATCTTTCCTTGATCAACTAATAACAATAACAACAAAGTAAAAATTTATTTCTAAGCTCAAAATTTATACACTGTGTTTATATATTATTATTGCAAAGTTTTCAGTACACTAACAGATACACGTGTGTAAATGTATTATTTACTGAAGGGAATGTCAACAACTACTTGCATATATCATCCAGGTATACAACATGAACAATCAAACATGAAATAAATCACTAAAAAAATTGTTCTATATACTGTACATGATATTTAACATATGCTACAACAAAACTACACACACACACACACACACACACACACACACACACACACACACACACACACACACACACACACACACACACAATTATTTGCATATGTGAGTTGGTATTTATATATCAGTTCAATGTGCATGGGAGCACCATGCATAAGAAGATTAATTTTTCATTATTATTAGCATGCAACATGTAAAAATATAACAAGAAAGAATAGGTTCATACAGAGATTTACTTGTTTATAACCCAGTTTTGCATTTTGCAGTTAGATCTTGACATTTATACTTTAACCTTCTAGCTAGCAATCTTAATTTTAAAATTTAAATGTCCTTATTTTGCTGAAAACTACATTGAAACTATGTATACTTGAACAACCAACGATTATATTATTGTTAATAATAGTTAACAAATTATAATATGAATGAAAAAATAGTAGAAAATGGAAAGAGAGAAAAGAAATAAAAAGAGAGAGAGAGATGGAAATAGTGAAAACTTTATGGTAACTTGTTAAAATCTAATTCAAAATAAAGACAAAATACTTTGTTACAACTACTACAACAAATTGATGTTCTAAACAAGAATTGGATTTAACATTTAGAAAAAAATGTTTCTAAATTTTCAAAATTCAAAATGCTGCCATTTCATTATTATACATATAAAATAAAATAAAAAAATCAAGTGAACAAATAAAAATAATGTAGCTTTTAAGTGTTAAATATTTTCATAATAAAAAATTGGTTAAACATCTATGTACTGTACAGAATAGTAAGATTAGTAAAAGTTAAAAAAATGTGTACTTCAATTTCAATGATTTCAACTCAAAATACAATGTAATTTAAATACTTATCAATAATAAAAATGTATTGGAATTATTTTTCATGAAGTATATTGTATCTTGATTACTAGTATTTGAGAATGCAATTAATTAGCTGGTAAATTTTTCATGTTAAGTTTTAAAGTACCTGGTGATGGTGATCAAAATTATCAATGGAAGACATGGGAATGGACATAACATTTTGAACTTTTCTCATTTTTGGTTCGCGTGGTGATGAAATAGGTATAAAAATTTTCCTTTTTAATGTGTTGGGTGTACCTGTACCATCTTCAGCAGATTTTGTTGCTACTGATGATGACTGCCTTCGATTGGTCCTTTGTTCTATGTACTTCTCGTACTCGGCTTTATGTTTTTTCTACAAAATACAAGTTATAAAATAAAAATATAAATAAAAGTTGTCCTTAAAAACGTATGATTTCATTTTAAGTTAATATAATGAAGGAATAGCAAACCCTCAAGTGTTTGAGCAGGTTGGATGTGGACCCCATGTGGGCACTCAAGAACTTATTCGGGCAAATCAGACATTCGGCAACAACGGTTTTTCCTATCGTCTTGGAGAGAGCAAACCACGTTCCGTCCATAATTTTGGGCACGTTGATCAGCCGACCCTCTTCTCCGTTAGAAGCCATTATTGATTAAAAGATTAATTGACTGACTGAATGACTAATAATATTTGATTAATTTATTTTAATCTATACTCGATTTAAATTACTTCACATTGGATGATAATCTTCTTGCTAATGTTAATCAATTACTTTCTATTGGCTTCCGTTCCGATCATGACCCGGCACCACCAAAATACAAATACTCAAAACATCAATAGTATTTGATATTCTTTGTTGTAATTAAGTATTCAATTACAATATTTTAAAATATAGATAAGTAACCGAATTTGACATAAAATTCCATCAAGAATACCAATTTTATTTATTATTTACAAATAATTTCGTATAGCGCCGAGTCAGACATTTTTGTTTGATAGAAATTTTTTTAATAAGAAACGTGATAGTCTATCTATCTAATGATGATTTTGTTTTTTCTAAAATGCTTTAGTTCACGCTCAGCTGGTGTTTGGGTCCAAGTTTGGTGTCCATATAGGAAGGGACTAATACAACAAAAGAGATTAAAGAAGTTTGGATGAGAGTGACAAAAGTGCAGAAAATTGTAAAAACTTGGATCTTCCACTCCTCTATTTTGTAGGTCTAGAAAGAACCAAATGACCTGATTCTAGTTTACCGAATAGTTCACAACCTGGTGCGCCTAACGATTTGCCCAGTTTCGATCAAATGTCAACATCAGAGGTTATCATTTCAGTCTACGCACCATTTAGTAAGTATTTCTATTCGACCTGTGTAGTTCAGTCCTGGAATGATTAGCCAAACGACGTTGTTGATGCACCAACTCTTGGGACTTTTAAAATTAAATAAGACGCTTCTTATGCTGACGAAGAATTTAATACACTTTGATATGTCTGAAATTTTATTTGTATTTCTTAATTTATGAACTTGATATTACTTGATGCTAAATTGAACTTTTCTTCATACATATTCGTAATTGTACCAAAATGACCTATATGATTTTACGGAAACGATTGATCAACTGATATAATAAATGTCAATTTATTTACAGCCGTAAAGCATTAGAGTTTAAACAAAATAATCTACCCAAGCAAGCTAAAAAATATTGTTGAAAATTAAGCTTGCCATTCGATTATGTGGTTAGCTGCCATCTATCATCTTTCGTAATTATATGTTGGATAATTTTTTGGCAGCAATTTAACTGAAAGCTTTGCTCAACGTAAATTATAAAAAAATGTCCATAATTTTTGAAAATTTGTTATAGGAGAATATTTAATATTTGCTCTACTAAAGTGATTGATGATCTGTTCACTTGCCTCGTGCCCACTGAAAAAACAATTTTTAAGGACTGCAGTGTTTTTTGCTTAAAATGTTATTGCTTATCTTTTGTACATCTTATATGCGAAATTATATTATTACATCGTAAATTTCACAAGCTTATGAGTTTGAAAATCTAATTATTTTGGTCTGTTGAAATGCTTCAAGTAAATGTAAGTATAACTTATTTCATAATTTTTAACGAATGTCATTTTGGTGAATTAGTAACACGGGAAGTTTAAACAAAACAACTATTTTGTTTTTTCATTCATCCAGTCAATTTGTTTTATTTCTAATCAAATTTCTAATGTAAATCTAAATAAAAATTGAAAAAATACTTTAAACATGATATCGTTTAAACTGAAATAATATAAATGTATAAAATGGTCACGGTCTTCAATGGTAAACGATTTTAAAAACTTCAATGAAAATGCGTCACGTAACGAAAAGAAAAATTTTTGGCTTCTAAACCTACAGAAAATTAATTATTTAAACTAAAAAATATTGGTCTGTCTACGCCAGAGAGGAAATGAGGATGACCTTGAGCCGCTGTCATCTTGACATTGAACTCCCTTGACCGCTTTGCATTTGTGAGGTCGAGAAATTGTTGAGGTAGTTGATTTTTGTTGCTGCGAATTTTCTGAGCGTCGATCGGCCAACGTGTGATATTGCCTTTGCTGTTGCTGTTGCTGTAATCGTAGTTTTTGTTGAAATTGATGTGGCTGCGTTGTTCGATACTGCCGACGTTTCTGCGTCAAGTGCATTCTACTATCCGACCTTTCGCTGTCGATGCTGTCGTAAGCAACTTTCGGAAACTGATGTCGTTCGAAGTAGTTTGTGGCAAAGTGATGGGGATGTGTGGAGTGGTAATCGTGGAAATGATGGTGATGATGGTAGGGGTGGGAGAGGCAAGGAGGCATTTGGAAGAGCTGGTGCTCCTCTTTGTCCTGAAAATAATTGTTGGCAAAATCAAACTCGTCGATTCTATCGTCGAAAAAGTTTGAATTTCTGATACGTTGGAGTTGGTCGGCAGAGTTTGAGGTCGTTGGCAGGGAATCCAAACTTCTCGAGAATTCAGCTGCCGTCGTTGTGGTTGCTGTAGTGATTGGAGCTTCCACGTTGTTGTTGGAGCTTTTTACGGCCGCTGACGACGATTCTTGAGCATCATCAGACTGTTTTGTTAATATAAAAACGATCAATTTTATTTACGTTTGAAAAAAATAATATAAACATTTATGAACAGAAATTTATCCAGTTTGTATTAAGATAGAACATGTAACGAGGCATAACAAATACTGCCTACAAATAGATTAAATCTTTGTATGTACTTCTCGTACTCGGCTTCATTCAAAAATTTAATATCAGAGGTTTCAAACGTAAGAACGGCAGTGCCGCAGAGCTCAGTTTTTGCACCCGTTCTCTTCCTACTGTACAAGACTGACAGCTAAAGTCAAATCTTTTAGTTTCAGCTGTCACGCGTTTGCGGATGATATTCAGGTGATGGTTACTAGTCATCCGGCCTTGTTCACATATGAGGTCGATAAATTTGTTAGATGTTGTTTACCAAAGGTTGCGTGTTCAATGTCATCAAACTCGTTTAAATTTAAGCATTTAAATTTGTTAAAGTTGCCAAAAATTTGCAGCTGTTTCAAGCCATTTCAGTTGAATTTTTGGTGGGTCAAATTGGAAATAAATTTTTTAAATAAATATCGTGGCCTCACAAAGACCCATTTTTTTGTTTTGGTTAAAGAATAAATTTTTTAGCTTTATTTTGCCTCGTCCGTACCGCTCGCAAGATTAATGGTTTCGTGACCTATGACCTGATACAAATTAGCGAAAAAAATGTTGTGTTTTTTGCTCCAAGTAGATCTTTTTGGGTGACTGGTTATTTATCAAGTCAGTGCCATCTCATTTCAATTCCTCAGAATGAGTGTGTTAAACACTGGCGCATAATGTACATTCATCCATAAAGAAATAACTTAGAATGAAACGCCCATGCGATTACATGCGCAGGTATGAACAAGAATTGTAAACAAAATGTTGTAAGAATAATAGTTTCTTTCCGATCGGCGTTGAAAGTATTCATCGTTCACGGGCGGTTAATTCCTGGCGCGTGGCTCCATTCATGTGTGGCCCGACAATTGTGAGCCGCTGATGCGAGCAGAACATTCACGACCAACCAAACGTAACCATCGACAGTTAGGTTTTTGTTTTTACGATCCATTGTTATAGCTGAACGTTCAATAGGCTTCTTTCGTTTTGTTGTATTTCAAATTTTTATCCTTAAATTTATGTTTGTGGATGAAAATATGAATAAACTAATTTGTGCATCGAACTGTTTGCATTTACATGTTTAGGTAATACTTACTTCCATTTCATCGAGAAGTGACTGTCGCAACTTCATCTTGTAGTAATGCAGAGAGCTGCACAGGACGATCAACAACAAAATGAAACAGTGCAACATGCAGAGTCCAATCGTGAAACTGGCAACACCACTTTTCATGTCGCTGGTGTCATCATCACTATCACCAACATCATCTTCGTCATCATCTTCATCATCCCGATGTGGATGGCTGGGTGCAGCTGATGAAGACCATCTGCTCAGTTCCAATGGTGAATTGTGGAATGAACAAATTATGGAATTGTTAACAAGAGGGGCTGAATATATGATAAATAAAAAAATGACAAACGATTCAATAAACTAAGAATTAAAATGTGACTGAGTGAATGAATGAATGAATGAATGAATGAGTGAGTGAATGAATGAATGAATGAATGAATGAATGAATGAATGAATGAATGAATGAATGAATGAATGAATGAATGAATGAATGAATGAATGAATGAATGAATGAATGAATGAATGAATGAATGAATGAATGAATGAATGAATGAATGAACAAACAAATGAAAAAGTTATTAGAGAAAGTTGAATGAAAAGATTAATACCTTTATGAACATGTAAATAAATATATTAGTTAATAAACGATTGGACATACAAAAAAAGACACAATGGATGTATTTGGACAGGCAAATAAAATCGAACAAATGATCATAAAAATTGAAACGAATTTTTCATTTGTCTCCAAAGCTTAACAGTTAAGTGGAAACCATTGTTTTCTTCTTCTTCCTTTGCCCAAGCGTTTTTTTGCAGTTCACAATTTTATAAAATTTTTTCGGTACTTTACAAACCTCACAATTTCAGCATAATTTATTTAAATAACAAAACTCTTTTTTTGTTTTGCATTTTCTTGAAAATGAATGTTTGGTTTCATTTTCATCGGTGGACAAAAAAGTTGCACCTACCTTCTATTCAGTTCTTGTAACGTTCCTTTGGCTGCGAGGCTTTCAACAGCGGAATGTAACGATTGTTTGAAGGGGAAGGATGAATGGAAAGCCATTGATAAGGAAATCACATCCATGCTAAGACCTGGAAATTTTAATTCGTTCAACGCCAGACGAACATTGTTTGAATCTTCAATGTCGTCAATATGTTGTGGTTGTAGTGGTGGTGGTTGTTGTTGTTGTGGTTGATGGCTTGAAGTTTTACTCAACTGCTGTTTGTTGAAATGTTCAGCCGCCATGGAGTGCCACAAAAGAATGATATTAACGCTGTCACCCTTCCTGCTACCATCATTTTCGAGGTCGGCCGATTTCGAGAAGAACCATTCGAGAAGTCTGGGCGGGGAGTTGCTGACAGGCTTGCCGCTCTTTATGCCACCATGTATCGTTTTCAGTGTTTGAAATAAATAATTATCATCTGACAGTTTATCTAAATAAATAATTTTACTCGATGAAGATAATTTGACCCAAGCTTTTTCATTTTCATCGTTTTGTTTATGAGAGGAGGATGGTGAGAAGGAGGAATATAGGGAGCTGGGTGGTGGCGTGGAAAACTGTGATTGGAATTGTTTCTTAAATAAATGTTCCATGATACTCTTGGATGGAACAATCAACAAAGTTTTGTTCTCCATCAAAAAATATTTTTCCACAAACGTTGAAAACTTTGATTGGTCAATTTCGATGCTTTCCCGTCGCTCATATTGCCGATGGTGAGGTAGATGATGATGGTGGTGAGTGGGATGATGCTGGTTGTCGTAATGATATTGCTCCTCCTCTTGATGATGATGGTGATGATGATAATTTTGTTGGTAGTGTTGAGCTGATATGAAAGTCTGTGTTAACAGCGAAGCGAGGCTCGACGCGTAGCAAACTGTTACCAGCAACGATAAGCACCTGTTGAATATGAAAATATTTTCACTTTCCTTGCAAATGAAAAACTTGAAAACTGCGAAATGAATTTGCGAAATTAAAAAGCAATAAGGATTGCGTTATTTTCAGGCTATTCTGATTACGTCTGTGTGTCCATTTATGTCTGTGTGTTCGTTTTTATGGATAGATTTTTGTTACCAAATTTTTGTATAAGATATTTTCAATGTGTGTAAGTTTTGTTTGAGCTTATATAATAATGAAATGTTTTTTGTGCGATTGAAAAGTTGACGACAGCTCCATTCATTTTGACGTTTTATACATTTCTTAATGGTACTGTCAGTATTTGAAGTTGGTGATGTTTTTGTTGTAGCCAAGCGTTAACTGCATGTTGTGAGGGTTGTTGTCGTTGTTCAGGTGCGTGCTTCTCACCAGCCTTGGAATGTTTCGTTTATTGCGCGGTTAAGTTATTCAAAATCAGAATATACAACATCAAATTTTTATAAAACATGTTAAAATTAATTTTCTGGAATATTTTAATTTATTTTGATATTTCCTTGGGGAACCGGGTCTCTGGACGCAAAACGAAGATTGATTGATTTTAATTTATTTTGATAGACAATTGTTGTCAGTAAGTCGATAAAATTTATTTTGAGTACATATAAAAACCAACTGACTGGAACGTACTTATACTCAAACACAAACTTATACTTATTCTTCACACACGCACACACACACATTACACACACGCGCACACACACACACACGCAGTAACACACACACACACTCACTGAAGCGCCTTAGCAGGTTTTTACGTAATATAATCACGTTGTCATGTTTTGACAATTTTTCTGCAGCGGGTAGGCGTGCAATGTTTTTTTAAACTGCGCGCGTAACATCGGATTCTCTGTTTGAAGACGTATCTCAAGTGAATGGTAACATGGTACGCGCATATCTGTATAATGATCGTGCGTAGCTGTACATAAAGCTGTAGTACATAAGTATGTGAATGTGCTTGTATTTCAGATGGGAATGGTTTTACCTGTAAATGTATGTGTGTACGTGTAAATTTGTGTAGGCGTAAACATATCAATATATAGGGTTAATATCAACAAATGGGGTAGGGTAGGTAGATAGATAGGTACGTAGGTAAGTAGATAGGTAGGTAGATAGGGGGTAGATAGGGGGGGGTGCGTATTTAGTTACCTTAATGTGAGGCTGAATATTTTTCCTCCCTTGGTACGGTGCATGATGCGAATCGGGGAGTTTAAATCTCTCAATGTTATCATTGTAGCCACTATCCTGATGATGATTGAGATAATAATAATGATGATGATAATGATGATGATGATGTTGATGATGATAGTGCTGAATATGGTGCTGGTCTAGAAATAATGTTAATGGATGTGTTGTTGTTGTTGTTGATGATGTTACCGGTGATAACGATGATGACAATTGTATGGAAGATGATGATGCAATGATGATGAAGACCAGGATTTTTACAACTGCAAGGATAAAATGACGTAATGATGATGTGAATGATGACAAAGATGATGAACGATTTGTATGGTTGCACTTTGAAGTTTAGATCATTTTACCGAAATTGGATTTGATGATGTAGTAGTTGGAACGGTGTTGTCATTTTATTAGTGGTGAGGCATCATCATCGTCATTATTATTATTTATTATTATTAATTAATTAATTAATTAATTATTAATATTATTATTATTAGAAAATGTGTAACGCGTTTTTATTTAAATAAATTTTTAAGCGTAAGGTAATTACGTTTCAATGCAAAGTTTAAAAAATTTGTACATGTTTAGTTAGCAAAAGTTGGAATGTTGTCAAAGTTATTATTAACGCTGTCTGTGGTATTGGAGAAAATAAAAACATCCTAAAATAAAACTAATTCATTGGCTGATGTAGTAAAAGTGACAACATAATGATGCCTTTAAAAGAAGGATCCGCTGTGGAAATAAAAATTAATTGCTACCAAATTTAATTGCAGCAGTTACAACATTTCAAATTATCGGGAATGGATGCTTAGAAAATTCTGTCATGAAGCATGTTAGCATTTAGTGGAGTTAACATAGAAGATGAAAATTGTAGCATGTTTTGTCGCAGTAAGATTAAGAATAACAGGAGTAATTGTAGTTGGTGTGGTAACGACAGCATCGATCGCAATGAAGTAGCGGCCGGCAGTAGCGTCCCAGTTGGAATTTCAAGAATAAAAGTTTTATTGAGAAGTTATAACAAAACATTGGCAGGAGGATGACGTAAGATACGAACCAGAGACAATGAACCAATGAAACATCAGAATAGAGATTATTCAGTTGACGATGCCCGTTGCAGCTGCTGTTGATGCTGTCGTTAGTCTTGTTGCATCTGCAACATAATTGGTTGCTACTGTTGTAACAACAGCAGCAATAATACAGTTTCAGTTTTTTATCCTCAATATTGGCGTGGCTCGGTTCGATGTTTTTTTCGTTGTTCTCGATGCTCAGGTTGTCATCGCTGTTGTTGTTGTTTGTGTTTCTGAACGGTGGTTTGTTGCTTCTGATCTGGAACTTGCTGTATCTTATGCTGTTGTTGTTGTTGCTGACGTTGATTGCTTCATCAGCGCTACATTGATCGCCTTTGGCGATTCGATCGCTTTTTACTTGACTTGCCTCGTTCGTGTTGATGTTTGTAACTGCTGCTGTTACTGCTGTTTTTGATGCGGCGAGTGCATTGATGTTGTTAGGAATGTTCAGTTTCCGGCTGATTTTGTTGTGGTTAGGGTTGTTGTTGGCAGCTGCCTCATCAACACTAGCACACCTATCACAACTTCTTTTCAGCTCATTCATCCCATCGACGCCTTCCTTCCATCTTATCTCCGCCTGACTAATTCTCGTCAACACAAACAAACACACCGTTGACAAGAACACAGCACCCGCCAGCAACAACCAACTTAGCAACGGAAATGGTTTTATTAGAGTAGTCATAGCAACGGTTAATAACGACCAATGGGAACGCTTGAAACGATCACGTGATGACAACCTGAGCGGAACAACGTGGTAGAAGTTCCAGGTGGTGCTCGTGATTGGTTGAGAGAATTCTAATCCTCCATGTGTTGCTGATGATGACGTCGTTGTTGATGATGCTGCTGCTGCTGATGAGGATGAAGATGGTGATGATGATGACGACGATGGAAGAGGCAAAAACAGAGCTAGAGAAGCTGACTGTTGATGAATTTTTTAAAGTTTTCACTCAAGTTAATAATTGTTGTACAATTGTTATTATTTTCAATTAGCATTTAAAAAGAAAATTTTGTATTAACATATGAATTTTCACACAAACAAAAATTACTGAATAGTCCAAAAATGGTTGGCATGATTTCTTATCATCGATTAACCTTATTTCTTATAAGCTCAGCCATTTTACTCTCTTCTACGTCATGAACACATTTGCTGACGTCATCATCTACGCGAATGACTTCGTAGCGGAAGTTGACTTCTTTCGATAGTTCTCGCAAGAAATCGATGGCGTAACCATGGTGACGGTGGCCGAGGTCGGAGGAAACGGAAAGAGGTTCTTCCTGTTGCAAAATGGCGAAACGTTGTTTTAAATAACTTGCGAGTGTGAGATGCAATAATGATTATTTCTAATCTATTTCCAGGTTATAATATTTTGTGTTTAATCGTTAAGAATATCAATAACTTGTAATTTAATTAATTGGAAGTATGTTCTTCTTGGTCACTCTCTCTCTCTCTCTCTCTCTCTCTCTCTCTCTCTCTCTCTCTCTCTCTTCATAATCTTAGTCTCCTCTTTTCTTTGTTTATAATTAACAGCATCTTAATTCCAATGAGATATAAAGAAGTGAAGGTTGATGTATTGAATTTATTGACAGTGAAATAAAAAGTTAATTCGATCGAACGCAATAGCGGCTCGGGCAATGTTGTTGTTGTTGCCGTTGTTGTTGTTGTTGTTATTTGGCTTGTACCATCGTGACTTACGGAACAGTTAGTTTAGTTGTTGTTAGTTAGTTGTGGTTGTTTATATTTTGTTAGTTGTTGTTTAACAATTGTGTTAATTTTATTGCAGTTGTTGCACGTTAGTTTTTAAATTATTGTTCTCGTTAGTTGCATATTATTGTTACTTATTGTTGTTCATTCCGCTTAATTTTCCTGTAAAATGCATATAATTTTGAGCGTTTTAATAGCGGGTTTAAACATTATAAATAGTTGCGTATTTAGTTTATAAATAATGTTGTAACAACACATAATGTATGATAATGTTAATTTTCTACAATGTTTTCTCTTCTTCGTTCGATGGCTCAAATTCAATTATTTTCTGTCATAAAATATTTGAACAAAATATGAACTAAAGTCTGTCTACTAACAATATAAATGTTTTAAAGATCGCCATCTTTTTGCCGCTTACTTCAATTTTATCTTTGTTCAAATATTTGGGATTTCCACTAAGATGCACTCATTTCAACACACAGCCGGTTTAATGAATGAGTGAGTAGTCTAATGAAGAAAGCGGTGAGGACGGTGATGAGTGAAATGATGACGAAGACGATGAAAAAATTTAATAAAAATTTTTTTGCACCTCAAAGTGAGACAATAAAGGCGATTAGGAAGGTGATGATTAAAACGATGATAAAAGTGATGATGGAGGTGATAATTACACGTGATTACCTAACAAGCAGGCCTCGTTAGTTTCAGAGAGAACTTGTCCACCAAAATGTTCTCGAGCAAAATGTGTTAAAAATTCAACATGTTCTTCTAATTTACTCCGACGTTCTTGATTTTTATTTGTTTTATTTTTTTATTTTTTCCAATCGCTGACAACAAATCTATGAAGTTGTTGTCGTTGCTACAGTAGATTGAACCCAATCACATCAAACAACAACAATGTCACTCTCAACAACGACATCAACAAAATCGCATAATATTTCATTGTAACAACAATTCCAGCAAGCATAGCAACATCACAAACATCAGTGCAACAGTTGCAGCAATGACAAAATTATTTTAGTGTTGTCGGGACAATGGAGGTAACAAAAAATAAAAGCGGAAGCCATGAAATAATTTGTGGCGGCAGAACAAGCCACGCAAAAACAAAAGCAAGAAATTGAACAATAGTAACATGTTGGACGCAAAACTTTCATTTCAAAGCAGTTTTTGCATCTATTGATTTTTTTGCGCCGCATTTTTAATAACAAAAGCAACAGTTTTGACAAAAAAAATCATCATTTGACGAGAAAACACTATTTTTTCAATTCACTAATTTACATTTGAAAAGATAAAAAATAGACAACGTCAAGAATCCTATAAACAACAACGACATTAAAAAACGTCAACGATAACAGATTAAGCAACAATAACAACATCGAAGTGAAGACATCAACAATATCAAAAACAACAAAATTAATTTAAAATAATAAAACATTACGGCAAAAACATCACTGCATAAACTGCAGGGCATCATAAACAAGAACGTACAAACAGTACAAAGCAGACGAAGATGTCCAAACAAACAGTAAAGTATAAACAGTACACTCCAAGTAGTACACTTTGAATAGTACACTAGTACACATCAAATAGTACAGTACAAACAATAATTTTGTCGTTCTTACATCAACGTACAGTATGATTTTATTGGAACATCAAGCATGTATGCCGAGTTAATAAAGGTTATTATCGTGAGTATCTTCAAAGCTGCACATTCATTTCTCAGTAACCAGCCCAATTTCTTTATGTTCCTTCAATTGCTACTGTTCCTTCCATTCTATACATGTTGTCATAATTTTATTGTTGTTATTTTTATTGATTTCTTTGTTTATGTTTTGCTGATGATATGCTTGTTGATGTAATGGCTGATGATGTTATGCCTGTTGGTGTTGTTGTTCGTGATGTGGTTGAGATTGATTCTGTTGTTTGAACATTCGATAGAAACACATACATGCATCCAAGAGTAATACTGCATTTTTGTATGAATCTGTCTTTCAACTGATTGTGCTAGATGGCTGGATGTTGTTCTTTGTCTGGTTGGAAATTTTCGTAGACGTTTTTGTTGATTTTAAAATAAGTTATTCTATAAGTTTAAAAATGATGACAATTCTTTTGCCCATTACTGTTTTTTTATATTTGCTTTTATTGTTTTTATTGTGAGATATTGTTGTTAAGAAGTTTACTTTGAACTGACGTCTTCCTTCAGTGCCCTGCATCGTGATGAACTGAATAAATTGTTAGTGCGATAGGAGCTGTCATAAGCGAAATATAAGAAGGAGATTGCGTACAAGTCTCATTTGGAATTGTAATGTAACATTTGAGTGCAGCTACATTAACTGATACCCGTAAATAATGGTTATTTTTATTTTAGGTTTCCATGAGTTAAGGTTTATTATGAATCGTTAATATTGCTTAATGTTTCTTATGAATAAATAATAGCATAAAATATTTAAAAATAATTTTAAACGAATAAATGATTTTTTTTTCTAAAGGTTCAACTTTAAGTAATATACCTAAAAACTAAATTTAAAAATTTAAATTTGTTGTTGCAAATTTCATCTCAAATAGAGTAGTCCAAAGTATTTTCGATTGACATATTACAAAAATATCAGATTTGCATTTGAAAAATAAAAACTTGATGCTTTTTTGCACGTAGAAGAGAAGTTTCAACGTCATTATAGATGATTATATCGGAAACAGAAAAATAGAAAAAAAAAGAAAAAAAAGAGAAAAAATCGAAGGAGAAGAATTGTCAATATGAGATGAACCCTTGTGTCTCATCATTTGCACTGAGATTAGTTCAATATTATCTGGTTCCTATGGCATATCGTTTGATTCCTTCATTTGTAAAACATCCAGTTTATTTATTAGAAAATGTTTTGAAATATTTCAAATTTTTTTTCACTGATTAGTTTTACACTTTTTTTTTATAAAATCTTGAAATGTTCCGGCCACGACAAAGTGAGTCTGTTAATTGCACTTATATATTATTATTTAAACTTCTCAAAAATCACAAAAAAAATTAGAGCTAGAGGATGATGATGCTGACGACGATGACAACTTTTCTAACAACATTAACAAGAACAAAAACCGAGCGAGCAAGCAAGCAGAGATTTGCAAGAGAAAATATTTCTGGAGGACATCCCTCCAGGGACTGACAGGAATCCACGTTCATCCTTCGATCCATAGCTATAAACGAAATGAACGTTTATAAGCGTGCGTCGGTACAGACACGTACAAAAATATAAACGTTTATACAAAAATAAAAGTCTGTGTTTAATTTATTTTATATTGTTGTATTCACAATTATCATTAAAAATTGCTCATAAACAAAATTTACTAAATTAATAAAAATACAGATTAAATACATACATGCATTTAAAATATACAATGCTTGAATTCATATATGTATATATATATACAATATTGTATGCTTATTTACGTTGTTATGTTAATTCATCAAAATAACCGGCAAACTCATTTCAAAACATAAATTTGACCAACTTTCGAAGTGACCACTACGAAGTTAAGGTCAGCCTTATTTGTGTTGACGTCACCGATGCTTGTAGATGTCATGATGTTGTTGTTGATGTTTTTGTTGATGTCGCTAAAGTTGTTGCTGATATCAATGTCTTTGTTGTTGAGGCTCGTCGAAGAGGTATCGTACAGAACAAGTTTCGACGGTTCCTGATCTGATGTGGATGATTTCCAAATGCCCATCTACTGCACGATAAAGGGAAGTGCTTGTCATTCATGTGTTGGCCAGTTTGTGTGTTGGTCATTTATGTGCTGGTCACTTTGTGTTTGGGTGTTGGTCAGTTCATGAGTGAGTTGTAAGTGAGTGGGTTAGTAAATGAGTTAATGATATTTTTAAAAACAATCAGTTGAACATATTAGTGAATGATCTGATAAACCACGTAAACATTAATAAGAAAACATATAAATGTACAGAAAGCTATACCAGCAAAAAGATTATTGAATGATAACTGAAACTTTGGATGTTTCAATAAAACAGTTATATCAACACGAACAAAAATATTAAAAAATTGTCGACATAAGCAACATTAACTAACATCAAAAATTACACTGCCAAAAATAACAACCCTAAAATTTACAGTTACACCAACATCAATAGCATCATCGCATCAATAACAAAGGAACATCGACCAACATAGTTTCATATAGTTGCCATAAAATACGCCATTCTCATTGCAAGCGGAACAAATTATCACGAACGTTTTAAATTTTTCGGAAGTGAGTTTTTTAAAAGTTTTAAGTTTTCTTCAAATTACAATTTTCCTCTATTTGTGCATAAAAAACTAAAAAAATATTCTCAAAAAAACTTTTTTAATACATTTTTTTAAAGAAAAAACGCGTGTGATTTTAATTTAAGTTTACTATTATGTTGGAAAGTTTTAAGGGAAGGAGTTCTTGAGTGTCGGTGATAAAATTTAAAAGTATGTCGGGCTTTATTCCTTTTATACTGTTTCATGGTTCCTGCCATATGCGCCTGCAATTAATTGCATACATTAAGTGTTGTTATTAAATCAATTTTATTGGCCGCTATTGAAAATCCATTTCTCTTCAATCATTCATTACCACGTTTCTTTAAAGTTTGAAACTATCTCTGTTTTGCTAAGCCACCATCATTTTTTTCAAATTAGTTGTTAAAAAATGTTATTGTGTTTTTATTATTTTATTGCATTTTAAAAATAAATTTAATTTAATTTATCTGTCTGGAAACTTTTTTTCCCAAAACTTTGATGCCGGTTCAAGCAAAATGCAATCGTGAATTCTACCTAATCCGCGAATAAATAAAACGAAATTGTGTTGGTCAAAATTGAAAGCCTTAGAAATTAAAAAAGACTATAAAAAAGTAATAAAAAAACAATAATGATAAAATTAAAATGTTAATTTATTGTTGGGTATTTTTTAAAAAATCGGCAAAATATCACTTCGTCAGAACATTTTGGTTCATTATTCATTGCGAATATATATACATATTTATCAGTCAATCCAGTAGGAGCTTTTAAAAATATCAAAAAATAAAAATGAGCTTTGATTCTTTTACTAATGAAATGCGGAATACGACTAACAAATTTATAATTTTATTAGGCATAGAGTTCAAAATATTTTGAGTAGGTAGAGAACAACAAATCATGCTAAAAATGTAACTGGCTATCAAATAAGATTGTGAAGTTTGATTGATCAGTTAGATGGTGGATGAGTGGATGGAAGGATGGATGGATGTGTAGAAAGGTGGATGGATAGATGGATGGATGGATGGTAGGGTGAAGCGGAAAAGTTGAATGTGTGATCGTAAGAATTAAATGTTTACCTATTTTTAATGTCCATTTAGCTGATTCGATGTTTACAAACATATTTATGCCATGCTTTTCTTTGTCAGTCTCCCACCCCATCAAAATTTTATATGAGATATTGCACACAAATGGTGTTCAAAGCAAAAAATGTAAAAAAAAATCAATTATCTATTAGCAGGTATATTATTTTAAGTACGCCAAATTTAACGAGCCAGTCAAACACAAAGCAAACACAATGAGTAAGCAGCAGATCAAATACACAGCAGATACACCGACTTTTTTGAAGCCATTCTCTCTGAGCCACAGAACGTCAAGGAAGTAACCGACCCTGCTTCCATCTTTCAGAAATTTCAACTGACCACTTTCTGTTTTTTCCGAGATCTGAGAAGAAATTATTTGAAGAGTTTGTTGGTGTCTGCGTCCGTAGTAATATAACTAAATAATAATATTCTAATGTAAAACTGAAACTAGTAATAAGAATGAAAAATCGATCATAAATTATTGGGTTATTAGAAATCCTGAATTTAACTCATTTCAACTCATTACTTCAGGGGCTTGAGTTTCATCAAAAATACTATCAGCTTTTCAACGCCGTTTTTGCCAGATATGTTGGAGATAAAAAAATAATGAAAATAAAAAACTGGAAGGCTGTGTGATCTGAATGGGAGATACGACAAAAAATTACTTTCAGCCTGATGCTATTTATATCCTGTTGGCCTTTCCACGTGCAATTATGACGTAATGCATACGTCATCATTATGGCTCTGTAGAGAGTTAGCAAGGAATCTTTAATCAACATGACGTCAGTGTTGGAGAACTTGTTGAATGGTGGCAAAGAAGATGTCGTTGATGGCGTTGATTGAGTTGACGCTGGAGTCGAGGATGATGATGATGGCGATAGTGGTGGCGAGTGTAGCTGGTTTCCCAGCTGTGTGGTTATGAAGTTGACTCCAGTGTAAGCGAATGGTGTTGGGTCAAAGTTCAGGGGATCCTGCAAACAGATCATTGTTGACATGTTAACCCGCGCGCATAAAGCAAAATATCATTACTTCGGGATATGCTTGAATGTACACTCTCGCTCCATGAATACGAAAAATTTCATCTTGTCTAATAAATAAAAACGAAAGGAAATTATTACCACACTACTCGCTGGCCTTTATAAACACTTCAACAAGAATTTGTAACGATAGTTTTAAAGTCTCTCAAAGCAATTTTTATGTAAAAAATTATAGATTCATTTGTTCAATAATGTTAATTTTTATTTTATAATTAAGTACGTTTGCTGTTCTGCTAAATTGTTGTTTAAATGAAAATAAAGTGCAAGAAAAACATATTTTATGAGGATGGATTGTTGCGAAGGATCAGTTTTTAAAACAAAAGCCACAAAAAATAGGAAAATAAACGAGTGAAGTTTCTTTCCTGGGAGACAGAATGATGGGGGTTTAACTTTTCATTCTTTTCTTACAACTACAACAAACAAATAACAACAACATTAAAAATCATTGCATAAGCAACAATCCTGTACATGACACGACGACGACAACAAAAGCAGCAACAACAAAAACATCAATAGTAAAAACATTTTCCGAAATATCAAAGACAAACAAAAGCTTTTCTAACAACATAATTATTAAAACAAGGTGATAACAATTTTCATTTAAGAAAAATCCTAGTAACCTAACTTAGATAATAATATAACGTAAGCTAATTGGATATTAAAAAGTAGAGAAACACTGTACGACGACGACAACAACAAAAGCAGCAACAACAAAAACATCAATACTAGAAACATTTTCCGAAATATCAAAGACAAACAAAAGCTTTTCTAACAACGATATTATTAAAACAAGGTGATAACAATTTTCATTTAAGAAAAATCCTAGTAACCTAACTTAGATAATAATAAAACGTAAGCTAATTGGATATTAAAAAGTAGAGAAACACTTGTGTTCGTACATAAGTTGAGACTGAAGAGGATTTAATTAAAAATACGGGCTTGGTTTGTTGCTTGGTTAGTTGGTTGGTTGCTGGTTGGATGGTTGGTAGGTTGGTTGGTATGTTGGTTGGTTGAATATTTGGATGGTTGGTTGGCTGGTTGGTTAGATGGCTCGTTGGTTGGATGTTTATAACATAACGCATTAGTGAGCTTTGATTCCTCGGATTTGCATATAAATTACTTCTTAACTAGTAAAAAAAACAAGGATGACAATTATTTTCGTGGCCTCCGCGAACGTTATTTATAAATAGGTTGCTACTTTACGACAATACCTGTGCACTCTATGACAAAAATTTATTTATTTTTCTCATAGAAAGTGTTTGTTTTGTGAGCTTTTTATTTATCAAATGGTTGTTTTAACAGTTTAAATTACAAAATAATTGTTGTCTACAAATATTAATAATTTAAATCAAAAACAATTATTTATTAATTATAGTTGGACTGAAAAAAATACTAAATTAATTGCAATAAAAAGAACCCACGTAGTTCAGCATGATCCAGTTCTGCCTGTTGGTCAGTAAGCTCAGCTTAAGGGCCTGTTTCATTGAAATTGTTGCAAAAATATTTCTACAAAACATTTCATACACTTCTATTTGTTAATAATTCAATTAAATAAAAATGTTATTAATTTTTTTTTACAATCATTGTTAATATTCAGTTTGGATTGGTAAGATTATCTAATAGTCTAGGCGTCTGCTCCCGCTCATGCAATGTTTGGGTCGGCGTCATTTACGTGCGATATTTGTGTTGCGCAGTTTCACTAAATAATTTTACTGTTAGGTTTTTTAAAGATACTTGAGATTCAGTAAAACTTTGATTTTATGATAAATTGAAAGTTGTTTTCTGTCATTATGAACAGTAATTGCAGATGGGATTAATGGCAATGGCACGTTAAATTTCCATCCTGCAAATTTATTATATTTTCAGTATTAGTAAACAGAAAGAAGCATATTTGATGTACTAACTTCACTGAGAATCATCTGAACGTTGAGGAGGTTGTCGAAATTGATCAAAACGATCGTCGCGATTCTCAAATTTCTCACTTCCAATAAAATATTTTTAATTTTTCCTTCAATGGATATTTTTTCATCAGCGAGAACATTTTCAACAGTCTTGTCATCCTCCTCTGCCACAAAATTTTCCATCATTCGGTCGCCAGCCTCAGTAGCTGCATCTCGCTTCAGGCGGTCATTGAAGCTGCTGTCGTGGCTTCTAACCTTTCGTTGAACTTCTTCATAATAATCACCTTCATCATAATTGTTGTTGATACTGTGTTGTTGCTGTTGTTGTTGGTTGGTTTTTGTGTTCGTCGATTGGTCGGTGCTCATGATTTGGTCTGGTAGAATCCAGACGGTTGTTTTGATGTTTGGTAGTTTAGAGAGCTCCTGGACGGCGTTGCTACCTGGAAAATTAAGTGTCATTCAAATTTTTTCTAATTTAATTGTTAAAAATAATAATAAAATTTAAAATTTAAAGTTAAATAATTTTATGAAAAATTTAAATTTGGTAGTAAATATTTTCAAAAAGTAATTAATTGCAATAATTTATTAAATGTTCTGTCATGCTTCCGTAATATATCGCGAAATATTTGTAACTTTTTTACTTTTTATCTTTTATCAGAAAAAAAGATCGTTTTTCGAAATATTTTGAGTGCTTATAGTTGTAAATATAAGTAATATCACATGCGCATTTTAAATTGAAAATTTATGCAATGAAAATAAACATTCAAAGACGTATAATACATTAAAATACTCAATATTTTTAACAACAGTTAGAATAAAAACGTTCTTATTTGCAATATTAAAAAATGGTCTTGAAGAAACATTAAAATCTTTTTTTTCACAATTTTTTTAAACCAAAGACCGGAACTAAGTAAAAAATTTTTGTTAGGAAGCTTTTTTATATAATATAAATCATATTAATATTTTTCGCAGTAGCAAATATAGTAGTAGCAGTAGCAGCAGTAGCAGCAGTTGTAGTACGAGTAGTAGCAGCAACAATATTTGTTGTTAAAAGCAATAAATTACTTTGTAAATCTTTATTAAATGTCTTGCTGATTATTTTTCGGAGGTATGAGTTATGACCGAACCAAGAAGGGGACAAGTAATTTTCACTGGCTCACAAGAACGATCACATGGTGAAGAAAAAAAATGTTGTCATCATTTTGTATTATCATCTTCATCGTTGTTGTCGTTATCATCTAATCATGATCGTCATTAATCATGTTACATCATCATCGTTATAGTCATTGGCATCATCATTTTCGTCGTTTTGTATCATCATCTACAATTACAAGAGTCATTGGCATCATCATTGTCTTCATTATGATAATATATCGCAGCGAATGTTTATCATTTTCAGTTTTAATCACTATTACCTTTGTCATCGTTATTGCTGTTATCAATAACACTTTCATCATTTGCATCATTATCGTCTTCGTTATAAACCTGCAATCCTGAGTGTTATCAGCTTCGCAAACCCCATCATCATCATCATCTTCATAATCACTATCATCACTACCACTATCATCATCATCTTCTTCATTATCATCATCATCACCATCATTATCATCACCATCATTATCTTTTTTTTCATAACCATCATCATCATCATCCCCATCATCAATATCATCGCCTTCTTTTTCTTCATTACCAACATCATCACCTTTTTCATCATCCTCATCATCATCTCCATCATCTTCACCATCCTCTTCCTTATTATTTTCAGCCTCAGCAGCAGTAGCAATGACGTCATAATCCTCATAATCACCTCGCCATTGATATTGATGCCAACGTTGTAATGGGAGTCTGAGATTCGTATTATTTATAACCATCACAATCACCATTACAATTAATAACGTCGTCATCATTTTCGTCGTCTTCATCATCATCGCCATCGTCTTCATCATCGTCATCATCATTGTTGTCGTTGCTGTCATTATCATCATCATCATCATCGCCATCGTCATCACTTTCCCTATCATCACCTTTTAGTTATAATATTATTCACCACTACTACCACTACTACATCACCACTACCAATATCATCATCATCATCATCATCATCATCATCATCATCATCATCATCATCTCCCTTCCCATCATCATCATGACAGTCTAACAAAGCACACTAATCCAGCGCTCAACCGGCGTGCATTTTCATTTTCATCTACAATCCCTCAACAAGTGCTGCCTTATAATTTTTTTTATCATAATTTCATAATAATTATAACAACAATAATAATATTAATAAGAATAATAGTATTAATATTTATAATAATAATGCAACTATAATTAATTTACAACAATAATATTAGCAACAACAACAACAACATCATTCGTATGCAATCATCATCGGTAAAATTGTTAGGTTACCAAAGAAGCGTTTAGGCTTTGATTTCGTCATCGTTACCACATTCGGTATTTTTGCACATGCATCAAAACATCATAACATCAAAACATCATATGGCGCTCTATAAATTACTCGCATTCAATAGCTGATCATCGACGCCATCAGTGGCGGATCAAGACAACGTTGACGTCATCCTCCTCCTCTTCCTTCTCTTCCTCCTCCTCTCCTTCTCCTTCTCGTCATCATTAGTTTAATAATCATCATTATCCTTTTATCACCTTGTGAAATATCTTCAAGAACTGAACTGCACTTGATAAAAATTTTTTCATTGCCCCTCTTCTCTATAACAATCGTTCGTATATTTATTCCTGACGAGGTATTATATATATATATATATATATATATATATATATATATATATATATATATATACTAAATAATTAAGTTACAAAGTCGCTGTAAAAACAAAGACACAAAGACGGAACAATACCATATAACTACACTGATGATGGCAGTCGATGCCGAAAAGAGCTTTTCTGTAGTCATAACGTTATTAATAATGTTTTGTCAAAAATGTCAATTATTAAAAGTTTTTTATTTAACCTTAATAAACTTCACCAAGATGATAAAAGTCTCGTTAGAAAAATTGAGAAACTTAACTACAAGTTGAATAATGCCGAAAACGCCGTGATCTTTATAAATAATTGTATATATATATATATATATATATATATATATATATATATATGCTATAATGTAATGAGATACACACACGTAAAACACACAGACACACACATACGCAAATACACACAAAAATACAAACACACACATAAAGAGATATCATAAGAAAGTAATGTATCATAATGGCTATAGGAAATGTATCATCAGATTCTATTGAATCGTGTGGCTAAAAGAGGGCTTGGCTTCTGGAGATCTCAATCACGCCGGTTCAGTCACCTCGTTCTATCAAACACAACATTTATGACGTCATTAAGTAATTTTTTAATTAATCAATTAATTGATTGATTAATTAATTAATTATGGATCGCTGATTTGTTCATGCGATCTTTTTCTGGTGTGAATTTATTCAGTTTTGTACGCTGTTCATTGATATGAGTTTCAGTTTCTAAGTTGTGTGATACGATATATAAAATAAATCGTTGAATTAATCAGAGGAGCATGAAAATAATGTCAACATTAACGAGCGTTTCATACCATATGATTCTCAATTTATGGTTATTTTCATTTTAATTTAATAAACTTCCAACAAAGAATGTCATGGGAATGTCTTGGGAAAAGTCATCCCAACTACCACCACCACCACCACCACCACCAACTACGTGATAAGAAGACGTTAAGAGAAGGCGCGTCGTACCATCAATGCGTTCCGTCCACCTGCTTATCTTAATTAAAAAATGCAAGCAGAACTCGCAAGTTACGAACTGATAAGGAACAAGCACGTGCGACAATGTAAAAACGACACAAACATTTTCACATTTGAAGAATTTTTTTAGTTTTTTTTAAGTTTTTTTTTAATAAAGATTTTGTATTTATAAATAATGTTCTAAATTAAAAATTTAAAAATACGATTTTTTATTAAAATATTCTCATTTTTAGAAATGTTTCACGCGTCACGTCCACACACACACACATCATACATTACACACACACACACACACATCCAATCACACACACACATACACACATCCTTCATACACATAATACATATAATGCTTTTTATTTTAATTAAACATCATTTTGCCGCCAATTTTTTCCGAGAAAAAAATTTAAAAATGAACAGGAAGCGGAAACTTGTGCATGTTTGCAAGCTCTCGACTCAGTAATTATTCTGACAAATCGTTCACTCACGATGATGAATGGCGATGAAGATGAACATGACGTTTATGTGGTTGCTTGGGTACTCATCTGCAGTTCACGAGACTCAGTTTTATTCCTACACTAGTTATTTAATTAAATGAAAACATTTTTGAACAATTCAGCATTTGTGTTTTTGTGTGCATGTGTGTGTGCGTGCGTGTGTATGTGTGCGTGTATGTGTTTCTATATTCATATGATGCGAGTAAAAGTTTTCCACTTAAGTGTTTTTTTTTAAATTTTATTTTTCAACTTTTAATTGTGTGATCATTGTCAACAAATTTTTTTAAAAAGAAACCCATATAGCGGTTAATTTGATGGTACGTCTTAGCAAATGAAAGTTCACGGATCCTATCAATTAAAATGGAAAATAAGACCTAACAATAAAAAGCAGGTTAGTGTTCTGTTTTGTTACACGCTCGCATCTCTCTTTCTTCATAAGAAGCAAATGTCAACGAGGTAAATAATTGCTGTGCCTTTATTAAATTAACATTCGGATGAAATAAACTCATTTTAATATACAACGTTTGTTGAAAATTATTTTCCAAAAATAAAAAATTGTTTACTATTTAACTTTTGTGAGGCTTTTGCCTGGAAAGTGGTTTGAGCATATGATGAAATGCTTGGTAGAAAAATTTAAAATGATGGTAATCAGTTGATCAAATATAAAAATAGATTTGAAAAATAAATTATATAGCGAAGAAATGAAACTATGATACTGATTTGTCCACATGATGATGCCATCATGCCGAGATGTTATGATTTCATATAGTGGCCTAACCATCAAACTCGTCTTTTTATAAATATACAACCGAAGCATCTCCAGATGTTTTAAATTTCCACATTTTGCAATCCATTTAGTAGTGAGTGATTTAAAAAAAACTCGTGTTTGAAGAAATAATTTTTCAACCGTATATTGAAACTTTACAAATAGGACTTTTTTTATAAGAAGGATGTTAACATTTTCCAGTGTTGAATACATTCTTTAGTTTTCCAACTTAAACTTGCATCAAATTTAAGACAATCATTCGACAAAACGTTCGATCGAATTATTCAGAATTCCCCTCGATACGATGGACTAACAACAACTCACATTGCAAGCAATCTCAAACCAGTGCACTGTCACATGTGCGTTACTGCAGAAACAATCGAGGAACAATTCATCGAATTGGTATGCCGATCTGCTTGCATGGCTAATTTAAACATTTTTTTATAACACGCTTATACATACTTGTCTGCCTATTTGTATTATATTTTGAATGTGTCTGTACAACTCACAAACTTGTATGCTGTTTTTCAAATGTTGGTTTCGACATCTATGTTTTGAGGTATCCAAATTTGTTGCAAATGTTCACTTTATCAGTTACTCTTTTTAATTCGTCCATGCATGCAAGCAAAGTCAAACCGATTTCAATCTGAACTTAAATTGTCAACACTGGCCGGCTGTTCGTTTTTTAATGTTCAACAACCAAAAAGCAACCAAACAAACACCAAAATCAATAACCACCAAACATACGAACAACCCACAAAAGTAACTACCAAACATACAAACAACCCAAATAAATAACCAGCAAACAACAAACAACCAGCCAAACAACACTAGCCAACAGAATGTTGTTATATAAAATGTTTGGCAACGAAACAGCAGAAAAACGGATGAGGAGGAGGAGGATGATGAAGAAGTTAGACTGTGGAAAGGAAGAAGGAAACACTTCTTTCCAGCTGGTTGCACATCAACGTCACATTTCAAATGGGTAGTTCAACCGTTAAAATGAATGCGATGTCTAAATTTCCATTTTAAACTTCTATGTACTTGTACATACGTACCAACATAAAGATGATTTTCTAACGATGCTTTTTTCATTGCCATAATGTACATATCTGAACGTACACTTGTATGAAATGAAAAGAAAAAAAAACAGAAACACGTGATCTGTGACGTGTGTTCGTGACTTATTACTGTTTGTGAAACAATTCTTCCATGCTTACATGCTCTGCTGCTGCTGTTTATAATGATCATATTTACCTGGAGTATGTGAAGTGGTCAATAATTTTTTTGGATACACTTGAAGAATTCGAACGGGTGGACAAATATCTTTGCCCAGTCGCAAACACAAAAAAAAACATAATTCGTTAGCAATATTTTGTTGTAGAGGTTGGCTGGATCGATCAAAAACGCAGAACTTAAAAAAAATATTTAAAAAATTTTATTTGGAGGCTTTAACCTCAGATACCCCTTATCTTAGTCTGTGTTTATT